AATCAAGTTACAGATGGAGAGCTTCTTTTTTCAAAGGGGCATGGATAAGAAGGGAGTGGGTCAGAAGCAAGATGAAAGCATAACATTGGAAAGGAGTAGGCTATTTTGTTCTCGGTCATAAGAAGTAAAGGAAGTGCCAGTGAGAGCTGAGAGAATGTTTAAATACGACGATATAAAGCAAAAGTTTCAACCTTGAGAGTCAAGATATTTTTCTGTGAAGAAGGGAGCAAATGTTAAGAATAGACCAACAGGGCTGGGGATGTGGCTCAAGCGGTAGCGCGCTCGCCTGGCAGGCGTGCAGCCCGGGTTTGATCCTCAGCACCACATACAAACAAAGATCTTGTGTCCGCCGAAAACTAAAAAATAAAATATTAAAAATTCCCTGTCTCTCTCTCTCTCTTAAAAAAAAAAAAAGAAATAGACCAGCAGGTGTACTGAGCAGAGCCTTAGGATTCTAGAAATAGGCATCAACGAGAATGGAAGATTACCTTAGTCATGTGAGGAACTGTGGGTCCTGCTCAAAGTCCTGCTGTGTAGGTAGTGCTGCTGAAATTTAAGAATATTTGTAAAATTTTTTCCTAGGTTAATAGCTCAAAACTACATTTCAAAAATTTTCAGTCATTACTTGAAACCAGCAATGGATCAATAAATTATTAAGGGATATGAAACTGATAAATAATGAGACATAAAAACGTCATCAAAAATACTTAAAATGAGTAAGGAAAGAAAACATAGTTATCAAACAAGCTGAGTTACTTAAATTCAACTCACCAACATTAACACAGATGGTAATGCTAAATAACATATAAACTGACACATCCATTTTTAAATTTCATAATAGGTTTGCTATTTATTTCATTATTTTTACCAATGGTAATTTGCTCAGTACACAAATATAATTTAATATTTTTATTAATATTCTAAAGGTTGAATTTATAAATATCCTTATGTTTACATATAATAATCTCTTACTCTTGCCTTATATAATCTTAGCTTTTAAGACTGGGGCTCCCTGAACATCACCATCAATCATGATTACATGTCATCACAGACTATAGGTGAGTTATTAAAGCCACACACAGTTCATTGTGTTTGGTAGAACTCAATTTTGCTGACATTGAATTTCTTCTCCTCTTTTGCTGGAGTTTGATGTGTAAAAGTGATGCCATTCCCTGAGCAGAAAGCCTAAATGGAAACTCTGGAAAATCTCAGCTCTTTCCCTCTTCTAGACGAGGAAATCCAGGCCTTGCTCCACAATACTTTTGTCCTTTAATCCTTCCTATTACATATTTGCTTTTCAGATGTTTGATTGAATTTATGTTAAATTTTGTGACTTCTCTTTTCCTTCATAGAAATAATTTTTTGACTATTAACATAAGTGCAGGTGCTCAGTTATTTTTTTAAACATTCAATGGGAACTGCAAACTAAAATGTATTCCATCATCTAAAAGGATTGTTTATACTGAGATTCTATCACACTCCATTCAGAATGGCAATTATCAAGAATACAAGCAACAATAAATGTTGGTAAGGATGTGGGTAAAAAGGTACACTCATACATTGCTGGTGGGACTCCAAATTGTTGCAACCAGTACGGAAAGCAGTATGGCGATTCTTCAGAAAACTTGGAATGAAACCAGCATTTGACCCAGCTGTCCCACTCCTAGATTTATACCCAAAGGTCTTAAAATCAGCATATTATAGTGACACAGCCACATCAATGTTCATAGCAGCTCAATTCACAATAGCCAAACTATGGAACCAACCTAAGTGGCCTTGAACAGATGAATGGATACATAAACTGTGGTATATATGCACAATGGAATATTACTTAAATAAGAATGAAATTATGGCACTTGCCTGTAAATGGATAGAACTGGAGACTATCATGCTAAGTGAAATAAGCCAATCCCCCAAAACAAAAGACTGAATGTTTTCTCTCATATGCAGATGCTAATTTACAATGTAGGTGGGGAGAACAGAAGTATTTTGGACTAGACAAAGAGGAGTGAAGGGAGGGGAGGGGGCTTAGGGGTAAGAAAGGTAGTAGAATGAATTGGGCATTATTATACTATGTGCATATATGATTATATTATCTTTGTAACTCTTCAACATGTACAACCAGACAAATGAGAAGTTATACCCCTTTTTGTATGATGTGTGAAAATGCATTCTTCTGTCATGTATAACTAATTAGAACAAATAAAAAACCACTTTAAAAAATAAATAAAAATAAAAGGATTGTTTTCAATATATAATCATTAATCTTGTGAACTCACATGATGAGTACTTTTTGCAAGTTTCCTAATTTACTTGGTATAAAACATAGAAAGTTGAAAAAGATACCTTAAATTTATTATTTGCACCTAAATAACACATGTTGTGATTTTAGAATAGAAAAATTTCTATGCATTGTCAGATTATGCTCATGTGAATGCTTTCTTCATAAAGATATGAATAAGATGGATAAGACATAACAGAGATTGAATTCAAGGGAAAAATGGAAAGTGCAGATGCCAGAAACAAGACAAGGAAACTAAGGTAACTAAGCGTGATGGTGCACACCTGTATTCCCAGCTACTCAGGTAGCTGAGGCAGGAGGATTGCAAGTTCAAGGCCAACCTAGGTATCTTAGAGAAGCCCTGTCTCAAAACAAAATAAAAAGGGCTAGGATGTAGTTCAATGGATGAGAACCCCTGTGTTTAATTCCCAGTAGCACCAAAAGAAAAAGAAAAGAAAGGGAAAAGAAGATTGGTATTTTAAGCCTCTAAGTTTTGGGGTGGTATCGGAAAGGCTGATGAATATGCCATCTACATTATATTAAATATATTTATTATCATAAATAATTAAACATAATTCATTGTATAAATGTAAGAGAGACACAACTTTCCATAAAAAAATTTGAGACAGCTTTTCTATGGATATCTCTGAAAGAACCACTAATAAGAAATCCTTCAAGAAGAAAGAAATAAAACCCAGAAGGAAATAGTTGGATGCTAGAGACTAATCAATATATTTATAAAGTAAATAAATATTTACTGCATGAAATAATAACAATGACTAATTTTTCTCAGGATGAGTGTTGAGGACAGTGGCTATTTATGATATAAAAAAGCAATTATAGCAAGGAGAGACATGATTTGAGCTGAGTTCCCTAGAAAACATAGTTCAAGATGAGGAGAGAGATCCTAATTAACTTCAGAAAAGCAGCATCCAATATGTAGACACTAGCCCCAGGTGGGGATCTAAATTTAAATTTAAGTTAATTAAGAAGTCCTAATATTTAAAATTCAGTTTCTTCAGCTCTGACATGTAAACAGCTTGGAAGTTATCATTTCTTTCCTACAAGGTAAAAAAAAAAATCTAAGAAAACTGAAAATTGATGTTTCTCATACCAATCAGAGGCTGAGACTTTAGGGCCAGTCATAACCAGAAATCATAAAAACTAACAAATGCAAATAAATTTGGCCAAGAGTAGCTTATCTGAGCAGAAGCCACTACAGCCATAAATTGTTAGGGAGGACAACTTAAGTGGTGATTTTGCTATCATGTACATTCCTGAGGTCAACAGTCTTAGGAGGCCAAGAGTGTTAGGGTGTGACTGGAGGAGGGCAAAAGCTATAGGCCTAGATGATTCTACTCCTAGAGATCTGGCACCAAAGTAGAAAGAGGAGGGAAGAAATACTCTAACCCCTGTCTTCTTCTACCCTCCCATCTCTTCAGCTTCTTCTTAGATCAGCCAAACTCAGCTGATATGAATGTATAAAGTACAAATAGCTCCTTAAGAAACAGCAAACTATATATCATTTATCATAGATTTGGAAATGTAACTCCTCAGAGGTAATGATGGTACCGTTTGAATTATCCCTTATTAGAAATGCTGGGAACCAGAGAGTTTGAAATTTCTTTTTTTTTTTTGTCAGATTTTTAAAGTATTTGCAAATATATAAAATATATTGGAGATGAAACTCAAGTCTAAGAACAAAATTCACTTACGTTTTATATAAATCTCATGCACATATCTTGGAAGCAATTTTGTATAATATTTTTATTGTGCCTGAGATTTTGACCATGACCTGTTATTTGAGGCCAGGTGGGGATTTTCCAATAGTGTCACCATGTTGGTGTTCAAAAATTCTTGGATTTGGACCATTTTGAACTTCAAGTTTTCAGATTAGGGGTGTTCAGCACCACATGTGTAAAATATACAGGTAAAATATTTAATTATATAAAAATCTTATAACATGGATAAGAAAAAGATTGAGTAATCAAAATAAATGACAAGGAATACAAATAACACAAGATTGAATGAAAACATAAAAACCTGCAAACTTATTATAAATTTGAAAGTAAATTAAAATGATTGCAATGGTATATAAGTAAGTATGTATATCTTTTTTAAAAATTATGTATACTATATGTTTATAACTATATTAAAAATATACTAAAGAAAGAAGGAAATAGTTAAAGTTTTGTGTGGAAAAAATGTCATATTTTTATTCAATATTTTTAAATTTCTATATAATTTTCCATTATAAAATTGTCTTTGCTGAGCATAAAAGATATCTTTAAGTTAGATGATACATCACCAGAAAATTAAAACAGGAGAAAAATTTTCAAATTTTCATAAGGACATAGTTATTTTTAAGGATAAAAAATATATGTTAAGCTGATATGCAGAAGACATATGTATACCGATATACTATATGCACATATACAAAAATAATGGGAAGATGACCTTATAAGAGTAGCAAATACACATAAAACTATTGATGAGGAAATGAGGTTAATCATAAGAACATAAGCTTAGTATTCAAAATTTTAAAATTCGGCACAAATATTACTATGACTCCCCTTTTTCAAAAGGTATACTCAAAGCTTCTTTTCAAATATGCATGTTTGTTCATTTTTTTAATTCAAGGGCCTTTTAGTCTCTATGTAAGTCAAAATAATTTTTGTAAAGGTTTTAGGAAAAGAATTTGAGTTGTATTTGTGTATTAAAAAAAAAATCAACTTGATATAGCAAATCAGCATGAAGCTGTCACGCAGCTTCCTGCTTTTGAAGTACCCTCACCTACTTCAGCAAGTGAAAAACAAAGTCATATTTGAAAATGCTTTAAGCTTGTAGTTTTATTTTCCAATACCCAGTGTTTGGTTCTTGGGGTGATTTTACCTTTATCAGTATTAATAGTATTGCCTTTATCACAGACTTTGCACCACCCCTAAGAATAAGAAAAGGAATAACTTTTAAATTTATTCATTTATGGACTACGCATACAACATATACATGATCCTGATATCAAATCATTTTTTAAATCATACACACTGCTAATTGTTACATAAAATAAATGTTCATAGCACATCAGCCCATTGGGTTTGAGGTCTTAGGGTTCATCTGAATAAGAAAGAAGTTTCCATCTCATGGTTGTATCAACTTCTTCATCAACATTTCCCAGTTCTGGCCTACTAAAAAGTTCCAGGAATACCTAAAGAGGAGACAAGAAGAAAAGGGAATAATCAGATTATGAACTGTCTTCCAAATAATCAGAAAAAATACACATGTTGCTTGCATGTGAAATTAATAGGGATGAGAGAAATTCAAGTGGTAGACTCACCTTTTCCAGCGTGCACTGAGAGAGGCTATATTCCTCCAGGTTAAAGTTATGTTTAACTGGTGGGAAAAAGAACTAGGTATAGATGCTGGCATTTTATTACCAGGATTTGTTCCAAGTTATATGAACTAAATCTTCAAATTATTAATATAACTAGATAAAACAAATAGACAAATAATTTGCAGAAGGATGATATAATGAACATCATAAGTAGTTAATATAAATGCATACTAAATTCATCTTGATATTAGGATTTTTTCAAACCTTGTCTGATAAGATGTGTTGTGATATTAGCATATGTGTTTGGCCAATTACAAATGTTCCTTTACGGACATATCCTTAATATATGAGGAAGATTTTATTCTTGTTTCACACCCATCTCGTACTCCCCTTAGTAGGTTCACCTGCCTCACCAGGTCTCTGTTAGTCTTCTCTACCACAAACTCTAAATGGCATCTGTCACTGGATTCACATATTCACATGTTCATGGTTTATCAAGTACAGCCTAAGAATCTCCTACATGAAAGGTGCTCTCAGATGCCAGAAACAGAACAATAAAGAAACAGGCAAAACTCTCTGCCTTTGTATTTGCATCTTAGTGGGGATAATATGGGCATAAATCCATGAACCCTTAAGTATATAACAGAGTAAATTATTATAGTGGCTCTAGAGAAAAAGAAAGCAGATAAATAAAATAGGGTGTGCTGGGCACTTGTTTTAATAGGATGTTCAGGAAGGTCACAGAAATAAGGTGATCGTTGAGCAGAAACCAGAAACAGTGGAGAAGCAGCTTGGATATTTAGGAAGAATTTCAGAATACAAAGTCCTGAGGCAGGAACACTATGTCTGGCAGCATTTAGGAAGAGCCAGGAAGTCCATTGTCTAGAGTGAAAGGAGCACAGCAGAGATTACTTATTATCTCAAGCACAAGGAACCAGGCACAGTTCTAGGTACTCGAAATTAACTTGTTGAATACTCTGAACAACCTGGCAAAGAGGGCACTGATATTATTCCTCATTGTCGAGATGAGCCATCTAGACAGGCAGGTATCAAGCAATTTTTACCTAATGTCTCTTGGGTAGAAAGCAACAGCACTGGCATGGGAACCAATAAGACTGGCTCTGGACTCTGAACTCTTCACCACTATGCTGTGCTGAGAAATTACACCACACTGGTCTGCTGCTGAGAATGACCCACTTGAAAGCAGAAAAATGATAGCAAGTAGCAAGAGAAATTATGCTCAGTCAGGGAATGGCCTGAGCTATCATTCAAAGCCACAGGAAGGCTAAGAACACCAGCACAGATATGAGGAGGTTGATGGACAAATGGAAGGTTTCTCTATTGCTTTCCTTTTATTAGTGAAATATAAAGCAAGGACATCAACTGAGGGAGGAAAGTGAGAAGGAGGTAGATATGGAAGGAGAAGAGGGGTGAAGCACTCATTAGGACATGTGGTGTGAAGGACTGTGTATAAGTAGGAAAAGCAGGCCACACCAAAGGGCTTTATGAGGGTAATGTTGTGGAGGCCCAGTAAGAATGGTCAAGCATGGCTGTGTGTTTTCACGCAGTTTCCCTTCCTGCACTGCAGATTAACCTCCTTCCAGACAGCTGGATTAATTATTGGTATGATTTGATTGGGAGGGATCCCCTGAAAAACTCATGTGGTAATGCAGAAATATTTAGAGGTGAAATGATTATAAGAGATATAACCTAATCAGTGGATTAATTCATTTGATGGATTATTCACTTGAATGGATTGCTGGGTGGTAATTGTAGTCAGATAGGGTGTGGCCAGAGGAAGTAGGTCACTAGGGGTGTGTCATTGGAGATTATATCTATCCCTGGCTCCTTGCTTTTTGTATTTGCTTCTGGGTTGACACAAGCTGACAGCCCTCCTCCATCAAGCCCTTCCACCATGATGTTCTGCCTCACTGTAGTCCCAGAGCAACGGAATTGGTCCAACATGAACTGAACCTCTGAAACGGTGACCTCAGAATTGAAAATTTCTTCCACTAAATTGTTATTGTCAGGTATTTTGGTCACAGCTATGAAAAGTGACTAACACACCTATCATCATCTACAATTACCATTCTTAAAAATCATGCCCTGCTGGGTCTGTTTAAAAAATATATCATACAACCAATCATCTCCACTAAATTAAAAGTCTTGATCCTTCAAGACTTTTGTTTAAATATGGTCATTCTTACCTGTTTCTAATTTGTAAAAGGCCTGAGATAGAGGGTAAACATCTGCTATGGGCAGCTTAAAGGTCAACAAGGAAGAAAACCTGGGAACAGGAAAATGTCATCTTCAACTCAGAATCTCCATTGAGGGGAAAGACAAGCATCAAAATAAATACTGCTATTATCACTAACTTCTTTTTTTAAAACAACAATTTTCTTTTTAAAATAAAAATGATCATTTATCATTCATCAATGGAAAAAGTTAATCATTTTTGGTACCTTGCTTTTGTAGATTCTTCTAGTAATGATCTGGCATAGTTACATATTATGCTAAGTTTACCCAAACTGTTACCTTGTTGCAAAGAAATATTCTAAACTTTTCCCTTTGATGAGTTTCAATTATATCGATAACAATCTCAAATGAAAGTTCAGACTTGTCACCAGAAAGCTGACTTGTAAAGAGAGATTGAAGCTGGAAGAAGGGACATAAAAGACCTGAAGACTTCGCTGGCCTCAAAGGAACAGTCAGAATTGATTTGGGACATCTTGTTTCCATGTACTACTTCTGGTTGCACACTCTCATGCCCTCTTCTCAGCTCTTTCCCAAATAGAGGTTGGTGCTCCCACATGGCCCAAAGGTTGACCACACCCACAGGACAGGCTCCCTACAGACCAGTCCCTGCTCCTTCCATCATACCATCCATGGTCTTCCCATGTATATCAAAACCTCTTGTTTAATCTGTGACACCAAAATCTAAGAACAGGACTGAGTTACATGCCCTGAAGCATACCTTAGATAGTCAATTACATTTTCACTTTGCTAAAATAAAAATAGCAATTTTTATATCCTGTTTCTTTGATGTACTTGTCTTAAATTCAGCTCTCACTCAACCATCTTGTCCTCCCCCAATCTCACTCGCACACACACACACACACACTCACACACACATACACACTCCTTACTTTTCTTCATATGAAAGCATGAAAATTCCATCAAAGGGAGATTCTTTATCTTGATTGCAGTTTCTTTATATTGTGAAGGGGTACAGGACAACTCCCAAGCCTTTTCTAATAAGGAAGAGTCAACAAATCCTTTCCTGAGGTCCCTAACTACGATTTGAAGTGAAATCACAATGAAATTCTCCCAGAGCAAAAAAGAAACCTGAGGGTAAAGCCCACACCTTTCTCCAAAGTCAGAACCCTTTTCACCTTTCCTGCTGCGCAGCCTGGGGGAAAAGATTCAGAATCTCGGTGTGGATCAAAGGTACTTGAGAAGGCTCCTTCACTTTGAGTTCTAGAATGTAATCTTTGCCAAATTTTCTTTTCAGGTGTTGGATAGAACCAATGCATCTATGGGTAAGAAGGAGAACATGTTGGAAAAAACACTACCACTAACATTTGGATGCAATTCTTCAATTTCCAAGGTAGTGGAAAGGGAAAGGAAAGGCTCCAGCTGCTCACTGCAGTTCTGCCCTTTCCACAGGGATTCTGTGTTAGGTGTCAAGTGCAGGCTCTGGAGTGATACCCACCTCAGCCTTCCAGACACCATGATGGCCACACGGTCACACAGAGCCTCAGCCTCAGCCAGGTAGTGGGTGGTCAAGAGGACACTCTTCTCAGTGCTCTTAACAGCTGCCTGGATTGTCTGCCTGAAGTGAGCCAAGACAAAATTTAAAACAAAAATACAGAAAAACAGTGAGCGAGCGAGAGAGAGAGAGCAAAATGGAGGAGAAATTTCATAGATAGGTTTTTTTTTATTTTTTTTAAAATTTTTTATTGTTGGCTGTTCAAAACATTACATAGTTCTTGATATATCATATTTCACACTTTGATTCAAGTGGGTTATGAGCTCCCATTTTTACCCCATATACAGATTGCAGAATCACATCAGTTACACATCCATTGATTTACATATTGCCATACTAGTGTCTGTTGTGTTCTGCTGCCTTTCCTATCCTCTACTATCCCCCCTCCCCTCCCCTCCCCTCTTCTCTCTCTGCCCCCTCTACTGACATTCATTTGTCCCCCTTGTATTATTTTTCCCTTTCCCTCACTTCCTCTTATATGTACTTTTGTATAACTCTGAGGGTCTCCTTCCATTTCCATGCAATTTCCCTTTGTTCTCCCTTTCCCTCCCACCTCTCATCCCTGTTTAATGTTAATCTTCTTCTCATGCTCTTCGATCCTACTCTGTTCTTAGTTACTCTCCCTATATCAAAGAAGACATTAGGCATTTGTTTTTTAGGGATTGGCTAGCTTCACTTAGCATAATCTGCTCTAATGCCATCCATTTCCCTGTAAATTCTATGATTTTGTCATTTTTTAATGCAGAGTAATACTCCATTGTGTATAAATGCCATATTTTTTTTTATCCATTCATCTATTGAAGGGCATCTAGGTTGGTTCCACAGTCTTGCTATTGTGAATTGTGCTGCTATGAACATCGATGTAGCAGTGTCCCTGTAGCATGCTCTTTTTAGGTCTTTAGGGAATAGACCGAGAAGGGGAATAGCTGGGTCAAATGGTGGCTCCATTCCCAGCTTTCCAAGAAATCTCCATACTGCTTTCCAAATTGGCTGCACCAATTTGCAGTCCCACCAGCAATGTACAAGTGTACCCTTTTCCCCACATCCTCGCCAGCACTTGTTGTTGTTTGACTTCATAATGGCTGCCAATCTAACTGGAGTGAGATGGTATCTTAGGGTGGTTTTGATTTGCATTTCTCTGACTGCTAGAGATGGTGAGCATTTTTTCATGTACTTGTTGATTGATTGTATGTCCTCCTCTGAGAAGTGTCTGTTCAGGTCCTTGGCCCATTTGTTGACTGGGTTGTTTGTTCTCTTATTGTCTAATTTTTTGAGTTCTTTGTATACTCTGGATATTAGGGCTCTATCTGAAATGTGAGGAGTAAAGATTTGTTCCCAGGATGTAGGCTCTCTATTTACCTCTCTTATTGTTTCTTTTGCTGAGAAAAAACTTTTTAGTTTGAGTAAGTCCCATTTGTTGATTCTAGTTATTAACTTTTGTGCTATGGGTGTCCTATTGAGGAATGTGGAGCCCGACCCCACAGTATGTAGATCGAAGCCAACTTTTTCTTCTATCAGACGGCGTGTCTCTGATTTGATATCAAGCTCCTTGATCCATTTTGAATTAACTTTTGTGCATGGTGAGAGAAAGGGATTCAGTTTCATTTTGTTGCATATGGATTTCCAGTTTTCCCAGCACCATTTGTTGAAGATGCTATCCTTCCTCCATTGCATGCTTTTAGCCCCTTTATCAAATATAAGGTAGTTGTAGTTTTGTGGATTGGTTTCTGTGTCCTCTATTCTGTACCATTGGTCCACCCGCCTGTTTTGGTACCAGTACCATTCTGCTTTTGTTACTATTGCTCTGTAGTATAGTTTGAAGTCTGGTATCGCTATACCGCCTGATTCACACTTCCTGCTTAGCATTGTTTTTGCTATTCTGGGTCATTTATTTTTCCATATGAATTTCATGATTGCTTTCTCTATTTCTACAAGAAATGCCGTTGGGATTTTGATTGGCATTGCATTAAACCTATAGAGAACTTTTGGTAATATCGCCATTTTGATGGTGTTAGTTCTGCCTATCCATGAACAGGGTATATTTTTCCATCTTCTAAGATCTTCTTCTATTTCTCTCTTTAGGGTTCTGTAGTTTTCATTGTATAAGTCTTTCACCTCTTTTGTTAGGTTGATTCCCAAGTATTTTATTTTTTTTGAAGATATTGTGAATGGAGTAGTTGTCCTCATTTCCATTTCAGAGGATTTGTCGCTGATATACAGGAATGCCTTTGATTTATGCGTGTTGATTTTATATCCTGCCACTTTGCTGAATTCATTTATTAGCTCTAATAGTTTCTTTGTAGACCCTTTTGGGTCTGCTAGGTATAGAATCATGTCATCTGCAAATAGTGATAATTTAAGTTCTTCTTTTCCTATTTTGATGCCTTTAATTTCTTTCATCTGTCTAATTGCTCTGGCCAGTGTTTCGAGAACTATGTTGAACAGAAGTGGTGAGAGAGGGCATCCCTGTCTTGTTCCAGATTTTAGAGGGAATGCCTTCAATTTTTCTCCATTCAGAATGATGCTAGCCTGAGGCTTAGCATAGATTGCTTTTACAATATTGAGGTATGTTCCTGTTATCCCTAATTTTTCTAGAGTTTTGAACATAAAGGGATGCTGTACTTTGTCGAATGCTTTTTCCGCATCTATCGAGATGATCATATGGTTCTGATTTTTAAGTCTATTGATGTGGTGAATAACATTTATTGATTTCCATATATTGAACCAGCCTTGCATCCCAGGGATGAATCCTACTTGATCATGGTGCACAATGTTTTTGATATGTTTTTGTATCCGATTCGCCAGAATTTTATTGAGGATTTTTGCATCTAGGTTCATTAGAGATATTGGTCTGTAGTTTTCTTTCTTTGAAGTGTCTTTGTCTGGTTTAGGTATCAGGGTGATGTTGGCCTCGTAGAATGAATTTGGAAGTTCTCCCTCTTTTTCTATTTCCTGAAGTAGCTTGAAAAGTATTGGTATTAGTTCCTCTTTAAAGGTTTTGTAAAACTCTGCTGTATACCCATCCGGTCCTGGGCTTTTCTTAGTTGGTAGTCTTTTGATGGTTTCTTCTATTTCCTCAATTGATATTGGTCTGTTTAGGTTGTCTATATCCTCCTGACTCAATCTGGGCAGATCATATGACTTAAGAAATTTATCTATGCCTTCACTATCTTCTAATTTATTGGAGTATAAGGATTCAAAATAATTTTTGATTATCTTCTGTATATCTGAAGTGTCTGTTGTGATATTGCCTTTTTCATCCCGTATGCTAGTAATTTGAGTTCTCTCTCTTCTTCTCTTCGCTAGCATCGCTAAGGGTCTGTCAATTTTGTTTATTTTTTCAAAGAACCAACTTTTAGTTTTGTCAATTTTTTCAATTGTTTCTTTTGTTTCGATTTCATTAATTTCAGCTCTGATTTTAATTATTTCTTGCCTTCTACTTCTTTTGCTGTTGTTTTGCTCTTCTTTTTCAAGGATTTTGAGATGAAGTATGAGATCATTTATTTGTTGGTTTTTTCTTTTTTTAAGGAATGAACTCCAAGCAATGAATTTTCCTCTTAGAACTGCTTTCAATGTGTCCCATAGATTCCGATATGTTGTGTCTGTGTTTTCATTAATCTCTAAGAATTTTTTAATTTCCTCCTTGATGTCTTCTATAACCCATTAATCATTCAGTAACCTATTGTTCATTCTCCAAGTGATGTATGCTTTTTCCTTCCTTCTTTTATCGTTGATTTTCAGTTCCATTCCATCATGATCAGATAGGATGCATGGTATTATCTCTACTCCTTTATATTGTCTAAGAGTTTCCCTGTGACATAATATATGATCTATTTTTGAGAAGGATCCATGTGCTGCTGAGAAAAAAGTGTAACTGCTTGATTTTGGGTGGTATATTCTATATATGTCAATTAAGTCTAGGTTATTAATTGTTTTATTGAGTTCTATAGTTTCCTTATTCAACTTTTGTTTGGAAGATCTGTCCAGTGGCGAGAGAGGTGTGTTGAAGTCTCCCATGATTATTGTATGGTGGTCTATTAGACTCTTGAACTTGAGAAGAGTTTGTTTGATGAACATAGCTGCACCATTGTTTGGGGTATATATATTTATGATTGTTATGTCTTGTTGGTGTATGGTTCCCTTAAGCAGTATGTAGTGTCCCTCTTTATCCCTTTTGATTAACTTTGGCTTGAAATCTATTTTATTTGATATGAGTATGGACACTCCTGCTTGTTTCCGAAGTCCATATGAGTGATATGATTTTTCCCAACCTTTCACCTTCAGCCTATGTATGTCTTTTCGTATCAAATGCGTCTCCTGTAGGCAGCATATTGTTGGGTCTTGTTTTGTGATCCATTCTACTAGCCTGTGTCTCTTGATTGGTGAGTTTAAGCCATTAACATTTAGGGTTATTATTGAGATATGGGTTGTTCTTCCAGCCATATTTGTTTATTTATGTTACTAAACATGGTTTGTTTTCCTCTTTGATTATTTTTCCCCCCTTTACTGTCCTACCTCCCACTGTTGGTTTTCATTGTTATTTTCCATTTCCTCTTCCTGTAATGTTTTGCCAAGGATGTTTTGAAGAGATGGTTTTCTAGCTGCAAATTCTTTTAACTTTTGTTTATCGTGGAAGGTTTTAATTTCATCTTCCATCCTGAAGCTTAATTTCACTGGAAACACAATTCTTGGTTGGAACCCATTTTCTTTCAGTGTTTGAAATATGTTATTCCATGATCTTCTAGCTTTCAGAGTCTGTGTTGAAAGATCAGCTGTTATCCTGATTGGCTTACCCCTAAATGTGATCTGCTTCCTTTCTCTTGTAGCTTTTAAAATTCTCTCCTTATTCTGTATGTTGGGCATCTTCATTATAATGTGTCTAGGTGTGGGTCTCTTATGATTTTGCACATTCGGCGTCCTGTAGGCTTCTAGGATTTGGGATTCTGTCTCATTCTTCAAGTCTGGGAAGTTTTCTCGTATTATTTCATTGAATAGATTGCTCATTCCTTTGGTTTGAAACTCTGCCCCTTCCTGTATTCCAATGACTCTTAAATTTGGTCTCTTGATGTTATCCCATATTTCTTGGATGTTCTGCTCATGGTTTCTTAACAGTCTTGCTGAGCTGTCTATGTTCTTTTCAAGTTGAAATACTTTATCTTCATTGTCTGATGTTCTATCTTCTAAGTGTTCTACTCTGCTGGTAGTATTCTCCATTGAGTTTTTAAGTTGGTTTATTGCTTCCTGCATTTCTAGGATTTCTGTTTGTTTGTTTTTTATAACCTCTATCTCCCTGTATAGTTGATCTTTTGCTTCTTGGATTTGTTTATGTAATTCATTGTTGAAGTGATCTTTCATTGTCTGATTTTGCTGTCTGATGTCTTCCTTGAGACTCCAGATCATCTGAAGCATGTATATCCTGAATTCTTTATCTGACATTCCATCTGCTGCAGCTATTACCCCTTCTAATATTGAGTTGACCTGCATTGCTTGTGGTCCTTTCTTTCCTTGTCTCTTCATACTGTTCGCATTCCTTTCTACTTGGTGAAACTGTTGCGCTATTGAATTTTCCCCCTATATATTTATATTGGTCTTGTATAGTTGCAAAGTCTCCCTCGCAGGCGCGGGCGGCGGCTCTGCCCCTCATCCAATTGGGGCAATGTGCCTACCATGCCGGCAGGCCGCTGGGCCTGCTCTGCCGGTCGGTAGTAGGTCCGCCTACCTTGCAGGCGCGGGCGGCGGCTCTGTCCCTCTGCGGGCCGCTAGGCTTGTTCTGTCGGTGGTCGCAGTTCTGCCTACTTTGCAGGCGCAGGCAGCGGCACTGCCCCTCTGCAGGCCTCTGGGGCTGTTCTGCCAGTGGGTCCCAGGTCCGCCTACCTTGCAGGCGCGGGGGGGGGGGCGGCTCTACCCTTCCTCAGGCCACTGGGCCTGTTCTGTCTGTCGGTTGCAGGTCTGGCCTGTTCTGATGGTGGTCACAGTTCCATCTACCTTGCAGGCGCGGGGGGAGGGGGCTGCTCTGCCTCTCAGCAGGCTGCTGCTCCTCTTCTGCCGGTGGGTCGCAGGCCCGCCTACCTTGCAGGAGTGATTGGAAGCTCTGTCCCGCCGCGGGCCACTGGGCCTTTTCTGTCGGTGGTCACAGTTCTGCCTACCTGGCAGGCGCGGGGGGCGGCGGGCGGCTCTGCCCCTCAGCAGGCCGCTGGGCCTGCTCTGTGGGTGGTCACAGTTCCGTCTACCTTGCCGGCGCACGGGGAGGGGGCGGCTCTGCCTCTCAGCAGGTCGCTGCTCCTCTTCTTCCGGTGGGTCGCAGGCCCCCATAGATAGGTTTTTAAATCTAATTTTAAAATATCCTAATTAAAAAATATCAGGGAAAAGTGAATACTATGTTTTGATAACCTAAATAAAAGTTTTTAATATTTTTAGATATGCTAATGGTGTTGTTATATCTTTTTAAAATAATTTAATAATTATTATTTATTATTAAATTATTAAATAATTTAAGAATTATTATTTAGTATTAAATTATTAAATAATTTAAGTAATTCTCTTTACCTTTTGAAGATACTAAATAAAATATTTATTAAAAAAAGGATAAGCTGCCTCATATTTCATTCAAAATAATTGAAGGGTAGGGAAAGGAAGTAGGTGAATGTGTTAGTTAAATATCAAGATGGCCTGATATTGTTAACTACTGAAACTCAGTGATGGATACAGCAGATTTGTAAATCATTTTATGTACATTTGCATAAATTTTCCATAATAGAGGATTTTTTAAAGTTTGAAAAATTTTGGATTGTCACAAATATGAAACTCTACTGAAGGTTTTATTAATCCAGAGAGTAACTCATAGAAAATAAAGTAAGAAGAAAAGACTGGAAAATTGAATAAACAATTTTATAAATTAAAAAGGGAAGAAATGAGGGGCTGGAGTTTCAGCTCAGCTGTAGAGTGTTTGCCTCGTATGTGTGAGGCACTGAGTTCGATTCTCAGCACCACATATAAATAAATAAATAAAATAAAGGTCCTTCAACAACTAAAAAGTATTTTTTAAAATGGGGGAAGAAAGGAAATGATGTCAGTAAATTAACAGTCTCTAGGAAAAGAGAGTAGAAGGAGATAAAGGAAAAAGATAATCTCAAAAATTAAAAGGCACAATTAAAATATATTCCAAATTAAAATACCCCAAACTCCAAAACTCCAACAAAATATTTAGGATCATTTTTAAGCCTGAAAACTATAAGAATATGATGCAGATTAGGATCACATATTTGCAAACTTTTTTTTTTGCTCAATAATATGAATTATCTTTGCTATGGTTTGAATCTTGAATGTCCCCAAAGGTCCATAGGTTAAAGGCTTGATGCCTAGGGTGGTGCCACTGGGAGGAGGTGGGACCTTTAAGAGGTGGGGTGGCTAGTGGGAATCTTTGTGTCCTTTGGGGCTTGTCTTCCTAAGGAGATTGTGGAACCTCAGCTCCCTTCTTGCTTTCTTGCTTTCTTTGCCCTGGCTTGTGAGGTGAGCAGTTTTGCTCTGTCACACGTTGCCACCATGACGCGCTGCCTTGACACAGGCACAAAGCAATGGGGCAAAGTGATCATGCATTGAACTTCCAAAGAGATGAGCTAAATAAATCTCTTCTCTGCAATACCTGTGATTCTCTCAGGTATTTATTATAATGATAGCTGTTGAATAACTAACACATGATCTTTCCATTACTGTGAAAAATACCTAGGAAAATAAAATTAAAAGGAAGACAAGTTTATTTTGGCTCGGTTTCAGAAGTTTCAGTCCATGATCAGTTGGCTCTGTTGCTTTGGGGCCTGAGGCAGGGTGGAACATCATGGATCACATGGTAGCATGTGATAGAGAAAAGCTGATCACTTCAAGCTGGCTGGGAAGGAAGAAGACAGGAGAGGCCAGCATCCCAATATCCCATCCAAGGGCATGCCTCCAATGACCAAACTTTCTTCCACTAGGTCACACCACTCAATAGCATTATAGGTTGGGGACCAAGCCTTCAGGGACCATTAGGGGACATTCAAGATCCAAACTATAGCAGCAGATTAGGACACAATCTCCACTGAATCAGAAACCAATAGATTTCAGGGGATGATTTCCAAGATCAGTTTATAAGCACAACTTCACACAACATTTATACTCATGGCTCTGAGGCTTACGATAATGCTCACCAAATCTGTTGCTGCCCTGTTGGATCTATGCCTGTAGAGGGTTCATCCAGAAGCAAGATGGGTGAATTTCCCAGGATGCTCAGCACAAAACATAGCTGCAATGCAGAGAAACACCCCTGTTTGGCTTCATGCCATGCAAGCCCTGAGAAGAACATCAAATATCACATGTACCTTTTTGGTGGTTCCTGATGCTAATTTCTGCACTGGAACATTTAGCTGCTCATACAGGTTGAAAGCATTCACTAGTCTGATAGAAAACAGGATAAGCATATGAGGTCAAGCAAGAATTTCTGGAAAATGTAAGCCTATAATCCTAACAGAACTGAAGGAACTCATGGAAACACTATTCTCAAAATGCTAAGTCATGCCCCAAACTCAAAGTCATGATAAAGAAAAAACCTCTTCATTTTGGAACATAATATTTTTCACCTTATAAAAAAAGTTTTAAAGAAAAACTAGAATTCTAGAAATCTGAATGAGAAACTGAAAATGGATGTTTATTCAGTTTCCAGTTTTTTATTAGAAAGACTGAAATGAATGGTTATGCATGATTTCATTAACTTTTTCCTTGGCAATAATTTATATAATCATTTTTAAAAATTTCCTCTTTCAGGGATGCAGGAAACCACGTCTTGTCCTTCATCCCTGTTCTACCACCAATGCTCTGAAAAGGTGTAAATGCCTTCTCATTCTCCACTCTTTATTGGTGAGTTCATCATCAATGATACAGCTTCCCTGCCTCTTGGCAAAAAGGAATCGCAGGACCTCTCTGTACCGTGAAATCACAATGGCAGCGTCCTCTTTCTGCAGCCCTTTCACGGTGGCATACACCTCCAGGTGTTCCTTCATTGTCAGGGTGGGCCACAGCACATTCTCCTGAGGACAGTACCCCAGGAACTTGACCATGCCATCTCCCTGCTGACCCAGAAATGACTTGCATTCCCCAACTCTCAGTTCCACCTACAAAGGTAAAACAGTTTTTAAAACATGTAGCCTTTTCTCCAGCGGTACAAGTAATCAAAAAACTGACACATAGCTAAATAATGCCTAAACTGTCAGATCATCAAAGGAATACCCTAGAAATTGCTTCATATTTATTACAGAAAGCATGTACTCTATTGATATAAAATTACATTCTGACATGTAGGGAGTTGGGAGGCCTAATAAGCCTCAGGGGTTTCCAAGATATTGTGATGAAGAAAAGGTATTTGGTTTCTGGGGACATCCCAACTTCTTTTATAAACCTTTAAATGCCTGGAGAAAGTAATAAAAGAGGGAAAATAAAAATATCCAAAATATAAAAAACTATAGACTTACAATGATATAACCTATATTGATCATGAAATTTCTGTGCTGGGATTGGAAGGCATTTCTTTGCTTCTCAGTACCTGTCCTGCTGTTGGCTTTGTGATCCCAGCTATCATCCTAATAGAAGAACTTTTACCAGCACCATTGGGTCCTAGCAATCCCAAAACTTCACCTGCAAAAAAGAATCAGTTTATTAATAGTGGAAGTGAATTCACAGTTTACATAAACCTGTTTCTTCAATGTAATCACATCTGTGCAGCTGACAGTATCATTTTATAATTTGTAATATATATGTAATCCATGTTGCCAAAACATTAATTCTTATGATTATATAAAATATTAGCAAAAAGTTTATAAAGTTGATGTCAATACATTATCTTCATTCACTGAGACTTCCTATTTCCATTAAAAACGTACCCAAATTGTTTTCTATAGTAGTACAGACATAAATGATACCTATACCTTGGAAGTCAGGGACACTTCATCCCAAATCCAATCACCCATGCCCAAACTACTATGACCATTCATCCAAGCAGATATAAATTTCCCCCTACTCAAATTCAGGAACAGTAGTAGCCAGCATGTGTATTCTCAAAATATAAATTAAACAATGACACAGCCCTGCTAAAAGTACTCCAATTGTAGTCCTTAACTTGGAATGAAATATGAATTTCTTTTTTTTCATATTTTTAAATTTTAAATTGATTTTTAAAAAATAAATGCAGCAGAGTGCATTAAAATTCTTATTACACATATACAGAACAAGTTTTCATATCTCTATTTGTATTAAAGTATGTTCAATTCATGTCTTCATACATGTACTTTGGATAATGATGTCCATCACATTCCACCATCCTTGTTAACCCCTGCCTCCTCCCTTCACCTCTCACCCCTCTGCTCTATCTAGAGTTCTTCTATCCCTCCCTACCCCACTATGAATCAGCCTCCTTGTAGCAGAGAAAACATTTGGCATCTGTTTTGGGGGGATTGGCTAACGTCACTTAGTATTATCTTCTCCAACGCCTCCATTTACCTGCAAATGCCATGGTTTTATTATCTTTTATTGCTGAGTAATATTCCATTGTGTATATATGCCACATTTTTTTTTATCCATTCATCTATTGAAGAGCATCTAGGTTGGTTCCACAGTTTAGCTATTGTGAATTGTGCTGCTATAAACATTGATGTGGCTGTGTCCCTATAGTATGCTGTTTTTAAGTCCTTTTTGTATAGATCAAGGAGAGTGATAGCTGAGTCAAATGGTGTTTCTACTCCCAGATTTCCAAGGAATCTCCATACTGCTTTCCATATCGGCTGCACCAATTTGCAGTCCCACCAGCAATGTATAGTGTACCTTTTTCCCCACATCCTCGCCAACACTTATTGTTGTTTGTCTTCATAATAACTGCCATTCTGACTGGAATGAGATGATATCTTAGCTATTGGATAGGCAGAATTAATATTATAAAAATAACCATACTATCAAAAGCACAAAAGTATCTATAGAAATAGAAAAAGCAATCATGAAATTCATTTGGAAATATTGAGACCCAGAATAGAGACCCAGAATAGCTAAAGCAATCCTTAACAGGAAGAGTGAAGTAGGTGGCATCCTTATATCAGACCTTAAACTATACTACAAGCAATAGTAACAAAGACAGCATGGTATTGGCACCCACCAAAACAGACTGGTAGACCAATGGTACAGAATAGAGGACACAGAGACGATCCCACAAAATTACAATTATCTTATATTAGACAAAGGTGCCAAAAACATGCACTGGAGAAAAGATAGCCTCTTCAACAAATGGTGCTGGGAAAACTGGAAATCCAGATGCAACAAAATGAAATTAAACCCCTATCTCTCACCAGACACAAAACTCAGCTCAAAGTGGATCAAGGACCTAGGAATTAAACCAGAGATTCTGAGTCTAATAGAAGAAAAAGTAGGCCCTAATCTTCATCATGTGGGATTAGGCCCCGATTTCCTCAATAAGACTCCAATAGTGCAAGAATTAAAATCAAGAATCAATAAATGGGATGGATTCAAACTAAAAAGTTTCTTCTCAGCAAAAGAAACCATCTGTGAGGTGAATAGAGAGCCTACATCTTGGGAGCAAATCTTTACCCCTTACACATCAGATAGAGCACTAATCTCTAGGGTATATAAAGAACTCAAAAAGCTAAGCACCAAAAAAAAAAATAATCCAATCAACAAATGGGCCAAGGACCTGAACAAACACTTCTCAGAAGAGGATATACAATCAATCAACAAATATATGAAAAAGTGTTCATCATCTCTAGGAATTAGAGAAATGCAAATAAAAAATATTCTGTTTTTAAAAGCTTATCCCACCCAGCCCCACCCATCATTTGATTTCCTCCCTTCTATTCTCAGATGCACCCACTGGCCTCTCTGAGACACAAATGCTCCTGATGTGTTGATATGAATCCCTGCCCTTGAAGTTTCCTCTACCTGGGTGCTCTGATCTTTTAATGCTCACATGGACTCACACCTTCTTATCACCAGATCTGGCTTTACTGTCACTGCCCTAATATGTCTTCCCTGACCTTAACCAAACACTGTTCCACATCATTCATGTCATTTAAAATATTTCAGTTTTCCACATTAACTTACTTGATATCTGATAACTTTCTTTGTAAGTTATTTTATTTATGGATTCTTTGTAGGATGTAAAACTTGCTAGGCTAGAATATTTGCCTATTTTCTCCATAATTATTTTTCCAGATCCTAAAATAATCGCTGGGAAACTTAAAAAGTATGTCAGATAAATGAGTGAATGAAGGCCTTTGCAAATTAAACAATGCTGACAGCATAGATGCTCAGTGGATATTTCTAAATACAAGTGTCATTTAAAAATGTGGTTATCACAGACCTTTTTTCACACAGAAAGATATATTTCTTGCTGCTATTTTCTTCTTCCTCTTTGAAAAACAACTTTTCCTCTGGCCTGCATACTCTTTGTGTAGACAGCTGGCAATTATGACTGGATTCTAGAAAAGATAACAGCATGATGTGTTGCTATGATCTCCCTGCTAGGACCTTTCATGACTTATGTCATAGAGAAGACCATATTTTGAAAGAGTAATCCATAAAGTTTGTTACAAATGTAATATGCATTCATTAACATGAATAGTGTCCTATTTCTAAATAGACTGAGAAAATATGAATGACCTTGCCAGAAGAGAGTGGCCAAGCTCATGGAAACATCACGACCTCCAACTCACAGAATGAAAGACTAACCCTTAAAATCTTAATCTCCACTTAGTATTTTATAACAAATCTCACATTAATTATTCAACTCAAGAAGATTTGTTCAGTTTTAAAATGCAAGCACTAATTGTCAAAACTCATTTTCTCAAAAGAAGAATAAAATCATTATGTTTTGTGTTCTTTTATCTTCCAAAAAAGTGTCTGCATATTTAAGGATTAAAAACACACCAAACTCCAAACATTCAAAATGAAAACCAAGATATGGAACTCTCAGTTGGATACTTCTTGGGTGTTTCCAGTAACATGCTTTATTTCTTGCTTTTCTACCTCATTTACGTTTGAAGTGGTCAGGGCACTTGATGCTCTCATTCTTTCTGCTTGAACATCTTCATCTTCATCTTCATCTACATGTATTTCTGGATTAAGTGGAACATTTTGAATTTGTGGGGAGATTCTGGAGAAAAATTGAAATGTTACATGTGATTCTCCACTTGTCAAAGACATATCAAAAGTCAGTGTTTCAGCCAGATGTGGTGGAGCATGCCTGTAATTCCAGCAGTTCAGGAGGCTGAGGCAGGAGGATTGAGAATTCAAAGCCAACCTCAGCAACTCAACAAGGCCTTAAGCAACTCAGCAAGACCCTGTCTCTAAATAAAATATAAAAAGGACTGGAGATGTGACTCAGTGGTTAAGCACCCCTGAATTGAATCCCTGGCACCAAAAGAAAAAAAAGTCAGTGTCCCTGTAATTTTCCAAGTGTCCTTTCTTTTATTAGACTGGTGGTGATTATAACTGCCAGTGTTTCTTCTGCTTTGCTGAGAACTCCCGTCCCACTAGCCAGAATCCCTCTCTTCCAGTAAGTGGATTTGACCTTTCAAACTCATCAGCAAATACTGCTCCTTCCTCTTGACAATGCAACTCATTCTCATGCCTCTGCTTGCTCTCAGCCCATCTTCATCAGGCCCATTGTGTCAACATCTTTCACTGTTCAGTCTTTCCAGAGCCCTCCACTTGTGAAATACTATGAACTACTTTGCTAAATCAATTCATCCTACCTAGTCTGTTCAAGAGTGCACACTCTTGGATGGGCTAATGGTGTGTTTGGGTGCTCGTCATATTTTTGAGAAACTAAAGTCTCCCTCAGCAGCTTAGAGGCCAAGTTCTCCCAGAACTCTGAATTCCTGGCAGTAAACCAGAAATCCATTGATCATAATGCCAAACATCATACTGCTTAGATTGTACACATAAATCCATAATCACAAGCTGACAGTACAGCCACCACCTAGGAATATTAAAGTATGATATCAAATATAAAATTAAAAATTTTACCAACCTGAAAACAGGATCTTTTCGTATTACTTTCTGTCCACATTTTAGTTCCATGCATCTTAGAATAAACACCAATAGCAAAGCCTGGACATAAGGCTAAGAGACAAGAAAAGAGTTTTATTTAACATCAGTTCAGAAATGTAACTTAAACATTCATGTGAAATTGGTGGTGTTTGTCAGGTAACATTGTTGTGAATTCTTATAAGTCAGTGGAGAAACCTAGTTATTCAGTCACAATCTGTCTCAGTGAACCTGCCTCCTTTGTTCTGCTCACAACCCACATTCAGTCTGTCAGTAAATTCTGCCTGCTTCATCTTCAAAATTATTCATAAGTCAACTACTTCTCACCCCTACTGTGTTATTCCTACATGGGTCATTATTATTTGTCATCTGGATAATTACAACATGTTCCCACCTGGTCTCTCTCAGCTCCTCTTAACCTAAACATCCCTTCTCACCAGTCACCAGAGCTATTCTTCAATACGTAAGTCTGATTGTACCACATTGCCTAAGACCCTTCAGACTCCTCCATCACTCAAAGTAGTGTTGGTGTCCTTAGAGTGGCCCAGACTGCTCTGTGTGGCCCCTTCTCCAAACTCTACACTTACTCCACTGCCTCTGTGACTATCTCTCCTATGACTCTGCCCCTCGCTTGCTCTGCCTAAACCACACTGGCCTCCCAGATGACCCAGGGACAAACAAAGGTCACTCCTGCCATCTCCTGGAATGTTCTTCTCCAAGCCTTTCCTGGCCACCCATCTAACACAGTACATATAATTTAATTAGATTACCACCTATCTACTTCACCCAAATATAAGGTCTCTGAGAACAGGGATGTCTATGTTTTTTTTACACCTAGAGAAGTCTGACACAGAGTATTTAAAAATAGTAGTTTTTCTCAGCCTGAAATTGCTAACATAATCATTTTTCTATTTCATTCTTGTTCAACTTTTGTCTTTTCATCTAATTTCAAAAGATTTAATTTATATTGTATCTGTATTTTTTACAAGCTTTCTTAAATACAGTGGAGGCAGTAAACAGGAGAAACAAAAATTAATTTTATGTTGAATTCTGGTCTTATACACTCTAGTCATGCATATAAGAAGTAATTCTAAGGTTTAAGTTTATATCCAAATGTAATTGATTTATCTAAGACTTTATTTGAAACACTTTCAGAGCCGGTATATCCTAGACAAGATCATATAGTTATAGTAAATGACAGCCATTCAAAAGAGTATGTGGTGAGGTAATAAGATCCTCTTACTATTAGGCACACTAGAAGATCAACAGCACTCAGGTGAAATTTGAATTCTTGAAATTCTTCATGGTATTCCTGTGCTCTCTGAAAAGGCCAAAAAAAGGGGTGGGGGCTAAGTGAAAATCATCTTCTTTATAATTTGTACTTAAATAATATGAAATTTCACAAGTTGACTTGACTGATTTCTTCATTAAGCTCAATTCCTCTATGTACATTAGAGACAAATTCTCAGCAGAGAAACAGGGAAGCCTCCTACTCAAGTCTCTGTTTCTCAATGAGCAGGCAACCTCCTCTCCTCTAATTAAAACAAAACAAAACAAAAAAACAACTCTTGGTTTAAAAACCAAAACATTTGCTGAAATTCCACTGAAGTCATGGAAGAGAGAGGTGTAGGCAGCGTGAAAATAGTGTCCCACAAAAGCCTATTCACAGGGTTCCTTCTCCCTACATGGTGACCATTTCCCATCATAATAAATAGCACTATCATGTTATTCTTTCTTCATCAGTCAATTCATTCAGAGAGTAACTCATTCCTCCTAATATGTGATAGATCTAGATTAATGGATTTCCCATTGCTGATTTCTACTTGTATTTTAAAAGCAAAATGCTTTAAGCAAAGAGCTGAGTATACAGTCAAGAACTCCATACATCCCTCAGTTGATGGAGAAGTATTTTTGTTTTGATGCCTTTGCTTCCCTCTGCAGAACATGCTTACTCCCTGCCTCACTCCCTGACACATTAACTTTTAATTATCCTTTAGGAATGTATGGGAACATCAAGTCCCCATAAGAATTCTGACTTTCCAGAGCACATTGGCTGAACTTTGCATGTTCTCCCTTGGCCCTCTGCCCTTCTCCTTTGTAACCTTTAAGTTTGTTGTGTTCACTTTCTGGAAGTTGATCTTTGTCTCCTCTAAACTCTGTGAAAGGAAGGACTATGGGATCTTGTTCATCAGGTGTCCTAATGCTTAGCAGAATAGTGTTTGATACATGTTTTTGAATACCTAGATGGTAGGATGCATGAATTTATCCTCAGAGTGGATAATGAATACCCATTGACCCAGAGAGCTCTTTTAAATCTGATGTTAGATTTCAGTAGCATTTAATGGGGCATATATTTTTGCAAGGTGCATAGAAGAAGGCTTTTTTTAAATAGCTTTATGAGGATCAATTTTCATGCCATAATATTTACCCATTTTAAGCACACAATTCTAGGATGTTTGTAAGTTTACAAAGCTGTGGAGAATCATACTTCAAGTTTAGAACATTTTAGTCATCCCAGAGAAATACCTCATGGTCATTTTATATCATTTCCAATTCAAACTAATCCACTTTCTATCCTTGTAGATCTTGGAGAAGCACTTCCATAGGCTACATATACATTATCAAGGACACAGATGGTAAGACTTCTTACCTTTGACAGGAAGAGTAGAAATACTTCCAAAGTAGATGATGGAAGTAATACCATGCTGACAATGATCACAGTTATGTTGAAGTCACTGACTAAAATGATGTAAGGCATGACAGTCAAGACCTACAAGGAAAGTCCAAATGTATTACATCAAACACACTCAGCCCATAAACACTTAAGAAATCATTAAGGCATAAAGGCTCTTATCACATATATCAGAATTTCACCATATGCAAACATACTTACATGCCATCACTGTGTCCACTTCCAGAGAAAGAAAGGAGGAGGAGCTTTTGTTAATGAGAATATACATGATTTTTTAACTTCCCAACAGAAAATTTTAATTTTATCTTTGTTAATATGTATTAATTGCGCATATTAATGTGTTCATTGTGACTTTCTTTTTCTTTTCCATCTTTTTTATTGGTCCTAGGGATTGAACCCAGGACCCAGGTCTCACTCATGCTAAGCATGTGCTTTACTACTGAGCTATACCCGCAGCCCAGGTGGTATTTGAACATATGAATATGGCATGTACTGCCTAATCAGGGGAACCCCTTATGTTTGGAACCTTTGAACTCCTCTCTTCTAGATATTAATAAAATACATAATAGATTGTTGTGAACTTTAGTCAACCTACTGAGCTGTGGAACACCATAAGTTATTCTGTTTTGGTCCCTGCTACCCAAACTGCCTTTATTTGCCTTCCCTTTTTTATCCTTTCCAACCTCCAGTAATCACTAATCTACATCCAAAGTAACTATTTTTTTAGCTCCTACATATGAGAGAGAACATAGTGGCATTTTTGTGTGTGTGTGTGTGTGTGTCTGGATAATTTCACTCAGCATACTGCCCTCCAAGTTCATTCATTTTGCTGCAAAAAACAAAATTTCATTGTTTTGTTTTTTGGGGTTTTTTTTTTGCATCAGGAATTGAACCCAGGGGTGCTTGAACACTGAACCATCCTCTCATCCCTTTTTATTTTGAGACAGAGTCTCACTAATTTGCTTAGGGCCTTGCTAAATTGCTCAGGCTGGCTTTGAACTTGATATCCTCCTGCCTGAAACTCTCCAGCTGCTGGGATTATAGGCATTTGCCACCTCATCCACCTATAAAATAGTTTTGATTTGCATTCCCCTAATGGATGATGAGCTTTTCTCTCTCTTTCATTCCTTTTTCTTTCTTTCTTTCCTTCCTTCCTTCCTTCCTTCCTTTGGATTTTTGTTGTCTATTTGTATGCTTTAGAGAAGTATATGTTCATATCATTCGTCCATTTTTTATTGGATTACTTGTCATTTTGTTGTGGAATTTTTTGAATTCCTTATATATTCTGGATATTAATCCAGGATTAATAAAAACATAAAAGAATGAAGAAACTTCTGCACCACAAAGGGAACAATCAACAAAGTGAGAATATGTTTATAGAATGGGAGAAAATATTTGCCAACTATTAGGCTCACAAGAAAATTTCTAATAGATGAAGAGATTGAAGATTAAAGGAATATTTAAAATGACCAAATAGACTTCCTGACCCAGTATTCAATTCAACCAAAGATGTCAGGATAAAAAGAGGAATGAGCTTTTTAAAGCTAAGGTAACAATAATAATGTGTAAATCCTGTATAAATTGAAAGTTACATGGGCAGTTATTTTAAAAATCCATCTTACCATTTTGCCTCTCACCTAGACTATCACAAAGCTTTGCCACTGTCCTGCCTAATACATTTCATCCCAATTCCAAGTAAGTGCTTTTTCTGAGATTGTGCATTTTCATAGCAATAGACTCATTTTCTTTTAGAATACTGGTAAATGGGAGAAGAGGATAAAAATAACTTTTTATTTTTCTGTTTTGAGGGTCAATTTATCAGCCAAGAAGTATGTATTAAGCATTAAAACTTCTGCTAGATCTAGTAATGTACGATTTGAATAAAAATTCTAATTTCTAGGTTCACTGAATATTACATAAATGCCAGGAATGAATAAAACCTGAATTACTTACTTTAATCCTTACAATAACTCTATAATGTACTAACTGTTATCTTCTATTTATAAATGAGAAATCTAGGGTTCAGAGATGTTAGAGATGGTCAGACACTAAGAGATGGTAGGATTCAAAACCACACAGCAAATACAAGATTGGAGTTCAAAACTCTAGGTGTAAATTTGTAAGTTTTAATGTCTTAGACTTATGTTGAAGTTTTCATTTAGAAACAAGTGAGACTAGGATGAGTTTTTGTTTTAGTGTTGCCAGGAAGCCCTATGTTGTGAAGTATCTATACATTCAATAGTGTATTTTATATTTCAGGACTTCTATTAAGTATTTCATGAACTCTCTAGAAAGGGTTGTAACTAAATTATTTAGGAACATCACTAACTTGATACCATGAGTTACCTTTGCCCTCCTTTCAACAGTGCAATTTTAAAGTGCAGGTTTAAGTACCCCTTATCTGAAATTCTTGGGACCAGAAATGTTTGGGTTTGGAGCATTTTGGATTTTGAGATTTAACTTCTATTGTTAAGACAAGTTACTTAAGACAAAGGTGACTATGTGGGATATTACATTGGCAGTTCAGAAATAAATATATCTCTAGTATGTATGTATAATAATGTATGTGCACTTACAACATAGAAGCAAAATGACCAGAGGCCACTGTTTTTTCTCCTCTTACGAAAAATAAATGATATCACATATGTCAGGAAGATAAGAGAAGCTGAATAACCAAGTGATACAACAACCTGAAGAAATACAAAAAAATATCAGGATCAAAAAATGAAATATTATCTGAAGAAATAAAATCACATTACAAATATTTTAAAGATATTTTGTTGCACATGAACTTTGCAAGCATTTTTTTGGTTTATGGTAAAATAAAGATGAAATTACCATCATTATAGAAAACTTAATGTTAAAATTCATTATTAATTACCTTAAAAATCTATGTAATATGTTACTTACCATAGCAAATATACCTTGACTTGTAACAGAAATGCCCATTTTGTTTGTTATGCAGATGATTAAATACATTAAAAGGAGAATTAAATTGAAGAGGTTAACATCCACCACTGCCTGTCCACACCAGTAAGCAGAGGGGTAGAGGCCTGAAATCCATAGCTGAGAACTAGCTTTCTTCTGATGAGAGAACACAGAATATATATATAGGTTCAAGTAAAATGCAAATAAAAAAGAAATAAATTGGAAGAATTTTTAAGATATATAATCTAACCTTCTAATTTTTTAAAAATAATATGTAGTGTATATAAATACATATAATTATTATGCTGTATGTGTGTGTATAAATGTATGTGTGTTTACTATTTGCATACTGTATGTTTATAGTTTACATATTAGTCAGGAAACTGAGGTCTACAGATACAGTTACATAAATGTGGCCATTTTTAAAATGTGCTTTGTTTTATTTGGTAGGTTTTATTTTATTTATTTTCTATTCACTATTCAGATATTTTCTCAAAGCATTAAGCTCCGGGGCTAGGGATGTGGCTCAAGTGGTAGCACGCTCTCCTAGCACACGTGAGGCACTGGGTTCGATACTCAGCACCACGTAAAAATTAAAAAAAAAAGAAGATATTTGTGTCCACCTAAAATAAATAAATATTTATTTATTTATTTTAATATATATATATATATATATATATATATATATATATATATATATATATATATTAAAGCATTAAGCTCCTTCCAAAGAAATGTTTTGTGACCTGAAGGACATAAATTTTCCTTTGTGTATTCATCTTTCCATAGAGTTACTGGCTCAAGATGATGAAAGCAGTCTTATCTAAAACTAACTTTCATGTTATGTCTGGATAATGAGCATAACTAAATACAAATATAACATAAAATTGCATGTACAGAATGTAGAAGGAACCCAAGTTAAATTTGGTCTTCAATTTCAACATCAATGATTTCCTCCTGAGTTAGGAAATAATGTAGTCCAAAGATTTTTTTTATATATAATATTGCTCTTTAAGGGTTTACACTGAGTCAAAAAAAATATTGCACTTATGCTGTAAATTTGAAGTAAAAAGTATTTTGCATTTTTAAAAGTAAGTTTTTAACTTGCTAGAAATAATGATCAACAATATGATCTGAATTAAAATACAGTTAAGCGTTTTTCTCATGGGAAAACATTTTGAACACAGAGCATTAAAAAAAAAAAACAATAACTTTAAATGCTTGCACTTCCCTACTTTCTCTTACTTTGTGATCAGTGACACTGCTCATGGCGATGTAAGGAGAAAGGCAGCACACAACAAAAAACATGAATGGAGAACCATCCGGCAACCCAGTCCAGATGTACAGATGGTTCTGGAAGCAAAAACGTAATAGTAAATTTTTTCATGAAACATACACTATTAATCAAAGAATATGCTTTTTGAAATATTGAGAAGTCAAAATATAGTTCTAGTTTACAGTCATCCAACGGGGGGGAAGTGATTTCTTATTACTTGATGTGAGGCTTCAACTCTAAGAAAAAAGGGAGAGAGAAGGGAAACTATGGAAATGGAAGGAGAACCTCATTGTTACACAAAATTACATATAAGAGTTTGTGAGGGGAAAGGGGAAAAAAAAACAAGGGAGAGAATTAAACAACAGCAGATGGGGTAGAGAGGGAAGATGAGAGGGAAGGGGAGGGGGGATAGTAGGGGATAGGAAAGGTAGCAGAATACTACACTCATTAATATGGTATTATGCAAAAATGTGGATGTGTAACCTATGTGATTCTGCAACTTGTATTTGGGGTAAAAAATGGGAGTTCATAACCCACTTGAATCAAATGTATGGAAGATGATATGTCATGAGCTTTGTAATGTTTTGAACAACCAATTAAAAAAAAAATGATTTAGGTCTCACTTTTGGGTATACATCCAAAAGAACACAAAGCAGGGTTTTTAAGAGGTACGTGCACACTACGTTGATAGCACCATTACTTCAATAGTCAAGAGATGGAACCAACCCAAATGTCTACCAGTGCATATATGGATAACCAAAATATGGTATATATACATACGATAAAACATTATTCAGCTCTAAAAAGGAAGAAAATCTGTCACATGCTGCAACATGAATGAACATGGAGGACATTATGCTATGTGAAATAAATCAGTCAAGAAGAAACAAATATTAAGGTATTTAAAGTAGTCAAATTCATAGAAATAGAAAGTAGAGTGATGGTTCCTCCCCAGGAGCAGGAGAGGAGATAGGAATAGGAACTGTTTGATGGACAGTTTTACTTCCACCAGACATAAAAGTTCTAGAACTTTATTTCACAACAATGTGAATGTATTTAATAATACTGAACTGTATGTTTTAAAATGGTTATTATGTTCAGTTTTATGTTTTTTTTTACCATGATAAAAAAAAATAGTAATAATTGATGAATTGTGACCCTTCATTAACAGAAAACTCAGGCCTAGGCAGCATGTCTTTCTCAGCAAACCACAGATGGGTATGTGAAGTCCTTAGCAACAGGAAGGATACATTCTCTAGCACAGAGCTGAAAAGCAAGGTTGGTGCCAATGAATGCATCTTTGAAGAGATAAAATTTAAATCACTACCCCCTAATCAGTGTCTGTCTGAGACTGGGCCCTGTGCCCAAGCAGCATATAGGACTATCTCATGGATAAAATTAGAGGAACAACACAAGTCTGTCTCAGAATAATTTTTAAATTCTCAAATTTTAAGATTTTGGAGTCTGTGTCTATAAATTCCAATTTTTCTCCAGGTGGGAAAATGCATTACTGTCATCATAGGAATGAAGGAGTATGCAACTGGGGGATGGGGTATGATAAGAGAGTAGCCATGGAATTTAGGTCCATTTTGATACTGAGCAAACAGGCAAAGACATGAGAAAACTGAAAAACCAAGAGAGGGTAACTGTCCCTTTCTGCTACCCACTGGTTCCACTTTCAGAAAAGTTCCCTTCAGACACCATTGTGTATTCCCCCTGATCACATTCAACTCGTGGATGCATAGACATTACTCACCTCTCAAATCTATACCATTCCCATTCTCCCCATTACCTACAGAAAATCTGCACTTGAGTGTAACAACCATGCAATGGAGCCAAAATGGAACTCAACACCTTTGTCATAAAGTGAAATTTCCTTTTAATTGGTCTATTTCTAATCCTGCTGATTGGTCTTCCAAACTTTTGGTGTGAAATACTTGGAATCAGTTTCGAGAGATTCCTTTTGGTAACAACCAGAAAACTATAGGATATCAAATACTTATTGTTTTCTAATAATCATGCAGTGGTTATATGGGGGATCATCATTCAAGAAGAATGATGAAATGGGAAGCCACTGTCACTTCTGGGCTGCAGAGACAAAGAAAGGAGGTGATAAGATTGGAGCTCAGTGTGGAGGGCCCTCTGCTCTTCTGTCTCCAACCATTGTTTCCTTAATTGTCTGAAGACAGGCTGTAGCCCAAATCCTGCAAGTGCAGCTCATGGGCATAAGAAACCCTTTCGACAGAGGAACCATGAAGGAATGAATCAGAAAGTATTCCAGCCAAGGACTGGCAAATCCTCATCCATGTTAGTCACTTAACTCACATAGTCAATGGAGTTTCCATTAGTAAATTATGTTAAATTTATAAAATTAAAGGAACATGTAAAAGGCTCCTGATTTCTAATTCAGTGTTTTCTGTCTCTGTCCCCCTCCCTAATATCCTTCCTGGAATGTCTCTATGACTTTCCAGAGCATCCCCCAGGAGAATATGACAAAATATTCAGAAGTATTCACTGATGAAATTTCTCTGATAATAAACTAGCAAGGAAAAAAAAAAACACATCTTATTTGATTAACATATTTAAAATGTTAGGACACAATAATAATTTTTAGGGTGAGTAGTTAATTATGCATATTTAAATCTTAAAGAGGGCAAACATGGGTTACTTTTCAAATTCTTAATTTCAGGATCACTAAATTCAATATTTACCAGATTAAATGGACTTCTCTCAATTCGAATATACTGTGTATGATTAAGCATCCAAAGTAGCCCATTGCTGATAATATTCATGAGGATAGGAAAACAGTGCAGCCTCTTGGTATTACACACGATTGAAAATCTATAATCCTTAAAATAAACAAAAACAACATCAATAAGTTTAATTCTAAGTCCTAGAAGAACAAAGGTACAGTTTTTGTATATAAGAAGCTGAAGTGCCACATTCCAGCAAAGTGTCCATCTTCAAAGTTAACAGACTTTCCTGAGCAAAAGTTTCCTCATCTGTGAAAGAGGATACTAAATAGGTCATTACATGATTAATGAGATTATATATAAAAGGCCCTAGCACAGTGGATAGTACACAGTCAGCATCCATTTCATGCAAATTTTTATTGGTTTTGCTAAATGCCTATGATTTTGTTCCCATTGTGTCTTCATGAGGAGGTTTCAACTTTTGTTGTCTAGGCAGTTCATGATGAGCAAGAATAGGAATTTTATCTCAGTAGGAGATACACATAGAGTTGATAAAACATTCATGTTTACACTGCCAGTGAAGTATTTCCACCCTTTCTAAGACAAGGTTAATGTACTTCATGTTGATGAAAATGCTCATGTGTTCATCAAGAGGTTCAAGTTGTTTAAACATTTGCAGTAAGTATTAGGATAAAGCAGCTGTCAAAGTTGTTTCCTAAAGTTGGCAGAGTGACTGCATTTTTCATAATCCATTTAGGTTAGGTAGAGTTCGATGATACATTTTCAAAATATTTTGTTTTTATTTCCTTTATAGCAAGAAACAAAAAGATAACTATATTTATTTTGACACCTTGCTTTTACTAAAGTAAGAGGCAAGAGTTCCACTTATGATTAGGATAGATTTTCATCTGGTTCCTTGATTTCTATGGCTCATTCACTTTTTCCTAAATTGAAACACATTAAGATAGCATATAAGGAATACTTTTCTCTCCAAGAGTCTGTGTGGATATTATAATATTTTTAGTATACTACAGTATAGTATATGTTTAGTATAGTATGTTTTATCAAAATATCATACAGATAGCTAGGTATTAAATGGATTTCCTAAATTCATAATTATATGATAATTTTAACATGTAATAATAGTTCATTGAGTTTGATCAATATGACTTAATTTAGTTTCTTTCAAATATAAAAAAATACATACTTCAAGAGGAGAAAAATGTTTCAAAAACACCCATTTTAACATCACAGTTTATTCAATGTGGACTAAAAATGTTTTTCTGAGTCAAGTTACTATATACTAACTGGGTTGATTTTCTGCAGTTTTTAAGAGTTAAAATATAGCGCTTTCTGTGCATTTGTGTGCAGTCATAAAGGCAAAACTTAAGAGACAAACGTACCTTTTGTTTACCAGAAACTATGATAGCGCCATTGTATGAGAGGCCTTCAGTGCCATTTCTGTTTTCAAAGTCATCTACTTCCAAAAGTATATTTTGATGCTTCAAAGACTGTATAAAATCTTCAATATTTGATTCTAATAGGAAATCAATAACAAAAGGCCATATAAAGGTGAGTAAATAGATTACAAATGTTTTCCTAGTGAACCCCGCACATAAAGTTGATACTTACAGCATGCTGTCTCTATTGATATCACAATAATACTGGGCCATGAAAAATAAATCATTCACTGCCATTTTCTATTTAACAAATATTATGCTATGATGAATTAGCTTTTTAATTCCCTTTAATGCAAATTGATGTGTGATCATCAAAATAAAGTAGTTCTATTTCATGACTTTTATTTTAAAAAATACATTTGAACTGATGATTTGTGGAGATACAGTTATTATAGGAGTATGTTAGATTGTCCAGCCTGATGCTAATACTCTCCTCTCACCCTTATTCTTTGAATAGAAAGTAAATATATAAATGTACATGTATAATACAGAAATATTCTTATTTTATTTAATATATTTGCATATATATTGCACTCCTGTATATGGCATGGATATGTACTTTTTTCTAATTAAATGGAAAATAAGAAGGGGGCCACCATTGGACCAAAAATTTTAATGTGCTCCTAAAGAAGGCAGCAAATGGTATTCTTTGAAAGAGAAAAAAGAGCTGAGGAAACGCACAGCCTGGAGCACAAAGAAGCCAATAGCTGCCAAGGTAAAATCAGCTTCCAGGATATCAAAGCTCAGAGGAAACGAGTAGAAGGGGACAGTGTGGGCATGGAAGCCACAGTCAGGGTCCTTAACCAGTTTGCCATACCTGGAGCAAGGTGAACAGTCAGGCCCCTCCTCATGTCTCACAGAGCAGGCAATATTGCATCTGTCTCAAGGAAGAGTTCTATTTTTACCTTCTAAGAAACAGTATTTCTTACAGAGTCAGGCAAGACTTGAAGTAATTCCAACCCACAATCAGGGAAAAATGGAGTGGAAAAAAAGGAAAAGAAGCTTGTTTGCTGTATTTTAGCTTGAAATGGGAGTCCATACTGGGATGCATGGAGGAATGGACAAATAGGGTCAAATTTCAGGCAAATTCAAAATTCCCCACATAGGAAGGACATATCCATGGAAAACAAGCTTTCCTTGTATCCTGGGACAGCCACACATGCTTCTCCATCTTCACAGCAGGATCCAACCAAACAGGGACCACAGGAAAACATGAACATGCTAGCAATAATCACCAGATTTTAAGGAAAGAGGAACACAATGGCACAGAGGTCCCAAACTTAAGGCCCCAAATACCTAACACTGTCTTCAGAGTGACTGGAGAGGAAAAAGATCCTGAGTCAACACTATACTCATAAGTTAAAAAAAAATCTAGATCTTAGAAATTAATGTACAATTAGCAAAATTAATTTTAAGGCAGAGAGGACATTTATTTTCCAAAACCCAAGTGGAAAAAGAACAATGAGAAACAGAAATGAAAAGACCATGTTTGTTTAGAGAGGAAATATCTACAATCCTGAAGCATAAATACATGTGAAACTGGACTGGGTAAGGAACCCATCAAGAAAGAACTCTGACTCTATATTTATTCTTAACATCTTAAGTAGAAACATATAAACTTCCCCTTTAAGTTAATCAAACACTTAAGAAACAATCAATTACCCAGTCTTTGCCATAATAAAATAAGTAGTCTTCCTGAATCCTATTTAAATTAGTAGTAGAGTGTGGGGTGTAGTAGACAGGCCATCTTTGCATTCAATCAGCATGTATCATATTTATGGTATAAGTTAGGCTGCTGTAAAGAAATCTGAAAATGAAGTGGTTCCACCAAGATAAAAGTTTATTTCTCTCTAATTCATAGCTTCAGGTTATCGTGTAGATAAGTTACTTCTATCAGATTGAATAGTAACCCAGGTGCATTCACACTTGTCCCTATCATTCTGTGATCTCTAAAATCAGAGCAAATATTCACTATTTTTCATAAACTATTTCCTATAAATGTATATTTTCTTCTCCTATGATTTGTTTCCTCTAACACATATGGTATTTGATAACAACAAAAATAACTTCTTTCTGGATGTAAATTTTGTTTTCCTGTTCACCTGTGTTATTGATGATCAAGAGGCTGGTACGAGGTTCCTGAGGAAGTTGTCCAGAAGAGAGGAAATATAATTCTGTTTTAAACTCCCAGTTTGCACTTTCATTTATCATAGAATTTGCTATCCTTTCCATAATCAAAGGAAACAGTGCAATTCCAAAAACCAATAGCCTAAACAATAAAGAAAATCACCATATGAATCTATAGCAATTTTATTTCCTCAATAAAACATTCCACAACCACTTGTGTGCCATATCTATAAGGATAATTCCTCCAGGTACAAACATTCTGAGCCTTGTCTCATCATGATACCCAGGACTAAAATGTCAATGCTGCATGAACAGTGGGTCATCCAACTATGAAAACTAAATGCACTTGTATGTATGAACCTGATCAAGAGCTAATCTACAGGTATTCCTGCGGTCAGTAAAATCCAATGCGACATTTACCTTTTCTCCAGCAGAAATGCTGGGCATTGTGTTCTAGTTTTAAAATCTCCTCTGGTTTGAGCCTTTTTTGAAACTGCTCGTTTAACAAAATCACAACACTCTGATACTCACAGGGTCAAAAGTGTTTTTCTTCCACGTTTCAGCTTTAAAAAACGGAGCCGTGCTATCGCACAGACTTGCATTCTCCAGAGGCCCATGTCGCTCACAGTCTTGTGTACTTCAGGGAGAGAAGAGCAAGCTGGATCCATTTCACTTGGGCTTTCTGAGTCTCTTATCTTGTCTGTTTGTTCAAAATCTATAGGTGCGCGTGCACACACACACACATTATTAATGCCATCTTGGGGCATCATAGTAATTTTCTTCTTTAAAATATTTAAAATTATTTTATTTTTGGTTTCATTGTTATCGTCTTATTGAAAAGAATTATTCAATACAATTATTTACACAAATTTAAACATAAACTTAATTATATATTAAATTTATACATCCCCATTCTTCAATATTTTCTTTCTGCAGTTATAATTACCAATGACTATGCATATTAAAACTTTTTAAATAAAAAATATTTTGGAATGTTGTGGGTACAATGCAAACAATATGAGAAACATACAATAATATCCAAATTCTATGACCTCAGTGGGAAAACATACTAACTACATACCAAAAGAAGAACTCAGGAAAGGGGTGATTCTGGCATATAGTTTTTGAAAAGCCAATCTCAAAGGTAACAATATTTGAGAACTTTAAAAAAAACTTCTCAATAGTAATAGCAAACATTAAAGCCTCAATATTTGCTAGAAAGTTATCAATAATCTAGGATTTTAGGGGGACAGCATCAGCTCTGAAACAACCAAACTTTTATATAAATCCCATAAACATGCCTTACAAGTAGCATGAATTGGAAAAGGTCATTTAACTGTTCTTAGTTCTATTTTCTCATCTGTAAAATGGTGTCAATGACACTTGGTGGGAAGTAATACTGTATGTATATATGAATGTATATTTACACTTTTATTATCTGGCATAGAAGGAGCACCCAGAATGAAAGCTCTTATTGTCAATTAAATATTCAGGAGTTGAAACTGAGAATTCTCCTTATTTAGACTTTACTGAAATTAAATTTGCATTAATTAACGAAGAACATCTTTTATCAGAAATATCTTCTTTGACTTCACTCCTCTAGTTAAGATCTTTCACAACCTCAAAGCATTAAAGCAGTAGTGAGCACATGAGGATGGGGGAAAACTACCCAACCGGAAGTTGATGGATTTCAAAAGAGATTTGGTAAAAGCCAAGAAGGGCTTTGTATTGAGTCCTACTGATGATGTGGGTCAACAAGCATCCCGTCTCAACAGCAGAGCCAAATTTGGAAAAACTCATAGTCCTTAATACGAATTATGCAAAACATAGTATAAATATTAAATCGACACATGATCATTTGGAAATTGATTTCTGTGAAATATGCAAAGGATCTGACCTTGTCTGATCGCTGGTTTTCGTTCCAGGTTCATGAAGACCTCATTCAGAGTTGACATGGAGATGTCATAATTCATCATACCCTGGCCAGAACACTTATCAATATCACTGAAAAGGTCTAAAGCAACAGACAAGAAAATATACATTCTTGAAAACATCAGTAGCTAAACCTAGTAAATTAGCACTTATCTGAAATATGTATAATATTGTTCATAAAATGTATGCCTTTAGGTTATTGTCATCATCAAAAGCAAAATTCTATTGGAAGGCTCATAATCTCTGAGTCTGCAGACTTGTTCTTCAAACGGCCTCTCTGTATCTTCAACCCATAGTTTACAAATATCCTGAAGACTTCTTGAAAAAAAATATGAGCAATCAGGAAGACCATTATTTCCTCACCTCACACTATAAATTCAAATATACCTCTTTCTAAATCCTGGGTCTTCCTTCTATATGGGAGAAAGACTTGCAGCCATTCCTTCAAAAGGTATCCCTGTTTCACCTAAGTCCCAAATTTCTTCCAGTCTCAGCATTTCAAAGACTTCCCAAAGTGGTCTTTTCTCTCTCTCTCCTCCATCCTCAGTTTATTCAATATATTCTGGGTCATCCAACAACAATCCAAAATTATATAGTATCCATTGAACAAATACACACAATAGCAACAAAACAACATTATTTCTTCCACAGATTTCTCTGCCTTTATTTGTCACTCCTAGCTATACTTAATCCCCTCAAATCCCAACGCTATTCATATGCTTCCACAAAAAATTTTCTTTTTTTTCAGGTCACCAAAATCTTTGCATTTTCAACTTTAGTGAACAAGTCTTTATTTTTCTTGTTTCCTTTTAACTCAATCATTCCCTTTTCTTTTCTTTAACCCTGTGGCATTCAAAACAGTTCAACAGTCCCACATCTGGAAACATTTTCCCTCTAGATTATGAACACATTATACTATTTTTCCTCTAGCTTCTTTCAGCACTCTCAATTTACATCCCTCCTAGCTTCTCAAACTCTGCTCTCTTCCAAGGTTTCAGTCCTAGACCGCTTTTTCTTTACATACACGCATATCTGGTCCCCAATTCATTATATGCTGAAGACTCCCAAATTTTCAAGTCTCACTTTGTCTTTTATTTCTAATGTCCTTGTAGCAACTATATACTTGACCACTGAGAAGTCAAAAGATATCTGTGGGTTACCATTCCTAAAAGAGAACTTTGTTTTTTCCTGCCGCTTTTGGTCAAATTGTTCCAACCATGACTTTCAATAAATGCCACCATTTTCTACCCAGTGATTCGAGCCAAAATTCTAGAAGTCCCACTTAGTTTTTCACACTTTTCTTCACATTCATGTGTGCAAGACATATCAGTCAGGCTTTCCAGCTTTACCAACAAATACCTTTCAAAGACATTCCCATCCTTATCATCTAGCCTATACAATATCATCTTTTATTTCTACCTCCGAAGTGGCCCTGAGGCCAGTTTCCTAGTGTATACTCTTTGTTCCTCTACATCCAGACATCTTCTTTATCCAGAGAATGAAAATAAAAGTCATATCACATCAACCCCTCATTAATCAATCAACGTCAACACAAAAGCCTCTCTGGTTCATGGAGATGGAGAGCCACTGTCCATCTAACCTCACCACCTTACCCACCCCTACTCTCCACTTTCCTCCCTCATCACTGACCTCTAGACATACGCTTACCCTTTACTTGAAGAACATCTGACCATTTCCTTCTTGTGGCCTTTCTGTGACTACTCTACATAAACCCCAGTTATACAACAGCCACCACTCCAACTCATGTAGCTTTATTATTTTATCATACAACTATTATACTATTTATTTTCCCACTTTCACCCACCCAGTTGAATGTAAGCTCCATGAGGGTAGGGATTCATTTAATCTATATTTCTGGTGCCTGAAGTAGTTTCTTTCAGATAATGAATTTACAATAAGCATTTGTTTACTATGTATCTCTTTCCTAGGGGTACTTGGATGAAACTGTGAATTTCATAGAGAAGGATCCCTCATTCTAACTTCTGAATAGGAGGGTAATGGGCCACTATCCTTACTGAAAGGAAATAGGTGGACAAGGCTCTACCAAGCACTGTGATTTCCTATGGTCTAACTGTGGCTTTCAGGGGACCTGGAGTCACATATCCTATAATGGATGTAGGCATGGCATTAGAGTACCAGAGGCCTGGGGTATGTATAACAAGGTTGCTGTGTGCTGGGACATCAACAACAGAAACTCTAGCTACATGGCATATTCCAGTAGGAGTACCAGCAAATGCCTCCCTATCCTCTTTCTCTGCCCCAAAATGAAGGTAGGCCAGGTACAATCGTAGGGGGGCTTAGTCCAAGAACACTACAACATAGTTTAGAATATCATCTTCCATGCTAATTCGAGGTTAGAGAGACCTGCCATATTTGGAAGTGTGGCTAAAATCTGAATTCCTGAGTATTTGTCTAATGAACTAAATAATTGAAAATGGCTTATTTAAATGAGACCTATGGTTAAATATTTAATAAATTAAATGTTTAAACCAAAAGGAAGATACTTATTAAATAACAAGAGACTAAATATATTCCTTCATTTATAAGATGGAGAAAATTATATCACCCACCTCAAAGAATAGCTGTCAGTACTTAATGAGTTGATACATATGAACTCGTTAGGACAGTGTCTAACACATAGTACCCATTGTAAGATGTTAGGATTATTTGTCAGTCAGAACCTACCTTGATATTTCCACCCAGCAGGTGGTAACCCATGGTGAACATTTCCTTTTTTTTTCTTTGCTACTGGGGATTGAACCCAGGGGCACTCTACCACTGAGTCTCATTACAGACTTTCTAATTTTATTTTGAGACAAGATCTCACTAAATTGTCATAGGCTGGCCTTGAACTAGCCATCCTCCTGTCTCAGTTTCCTGTCTCTGTCTGGGATTACAGGCATGTGCCACCATGTATGGCTTGTTGAACACTTTTGTAAAATAAATAAGCTATGTTTTTTTTCCTTGCAAAATAAAACATGTTCAAATCATCCAAAGGAGGTTATTAAAATTAAAACACAAAAGGAAACCTGTAGCAGAGACCTTGATACCTCACCTTCACCTGTTCTGCACTCTCCTAGTGTCAGTGAATCAGCTTATTAAACACACTTACCTGTCTTGAGATTCCTTTTCTAGCCTTAGAATTATGCTAAGGTCATGTTCAAAGGAAGCCAGAGGGCCAGACAGTTAATGTACCGGGATCTAACCCTTACCCAATGACAGATAGAGAGTAGTGCGTAATTACCCTAACTGCCTTACCCCTATGGTGACTTGACTCTGTGCTCACATACTTAAATCTTTTCTCCCTACCCCTACCCCTGTGATATTGCACTTGAATTGCCTACAATGGCTAAATTGCTTGATAATGCAAAATTCCCTGGCTTCCTTCCTTCCCTCTCTCATGTCTCCACTTTTTGGTGGTCCTTTTAGGGAAAGACTACCAAAAATTTATTAAACTCAAATTCTTATCTCAAATTATTATTCTCAAATAATCCAGCCCAAGACAAAAAATCAAGTCCATAAATAATGAAAATCGTTATAATAATGTGAACATTGATCCCAAAGTTCATTCCATTGTAATCATGTTTAAGTTACCTGGAAATTTACTTGTGCTTTCCAAAGGCAAAGTAAATACAAGTTTTTCTTTGTTTTCTAGTTTTAATTTAGCATCAGAGATATGATGATTAATGAAAGATGTGATTTGTTCTGGATCACTTATCTCGTTCTTATACAAACTAATAATCAAAAGAAAAGAAAAAGCATTAGTATTTTTCTATACTGTTACCACAGAAGAGGTTTTTTAAATTCAAAATTTAGAGTACTACTTTACTTGGCTTTATGAAATAAACAAAATGAGGAAAAAATAATAATCCATCAGTTTGAAAATCTATAATCTAGATATAAAAGGAATATAAACTAATTACAAAGAAACACATAACTTATTGTGATTAAAACTATATACCTACTATGAAGATAAACAGAGGGAGGTGAAAATATTAGACAGAAGAGACTCCTTTGGGGAACTTATTACACCTGAAAGTGTAGGTGTCAGAATTTATTGGCTCATAGAGAAACTTGGCCCACATCCGTGTTTTGTTTGGCCATAGATTTGGGCTTTTACAATTTTTTTAGCCTAGACATACTGTTTCTAGTTAGACACAGGTCTCACCACTCTCTCACACCATATTTACTCCCTGTTGAAAATGGCTTCCAAAAATATTTGCCATTGAGCCTTATGAAGGGGTGAAAATGTATGACCGGAATGTATAAATCCGCTTAGAAAAATGGAGAGTGGGAGGAAAGTAGAGATTTAGGCTGCACAGAACAGCTACCTATGGTACATGAAGCAGTCCTGATGAGACAAGGCAGCTTTGGCTTGTAATGTTGACATTGTGCCCAGAACTAATATTAGAAAAGACACAAAGAGGCCGGAAAGTAGGAACATCATTAGAAAACACTTAACAATCTGGTATAACTGTAATGAAGCATGAGAGCAGTTCACACTTGTAGCTGTCCAACTTTGTTATAAACCAGTACTGAAAACATACATATTCAGGCTTTTCCCAAAGTCTTTACCTTAAGTGATATCCAAGACCCCATTTTCTCTTTAAAAAGACAGAAGATCCTGCACACTTCAGTTCCCCATTGGACATGATCACTTTTCTATCTGAGTAAAAAATGCAAGTGAGAAAGGATATGAGGAGTCATATCTTTTCTCTCTAGAAAATATAGATGGGAAATTAAAGCTCAGAATTCCAAAGGAGAAGTGTTGTATGGGACATAAAGAATGAGTTAGGCATCATTATCCTAAGTACATGTATGAAGACAAGAGTGGTGTGAAAATATTTGTATACAATCAGTGACTTGAAAAACTGTGCTCTATATATGTAATATGAAATGAATTACATTCTGCCATCATGTATGACAAATTAAAATATATAAATAATTTTAAAAAACAAATAAATACTTTAATAAAAATAAATAAAGTAAGTAAGAGACAAATTATAAAAATAAGGATATGCACTATGTATTTTAATATTGAAACACACATTCACATTAATGCATTTTGAACTCATCAACATCAATCTATTTCAGCACCTGCCAATATTTTCTGGGGGTAAAATGCCACAAATTACATGGGTATATCCTTTACTTTGGATTCTAAAGGACAAGTGGCTATTTTTTAACCAAATATATATGAAAGAAGATTTGGATGTTTGAATGAACTGTTAGGTAATTTGAAACAAAAATAAAAACCTTCAGATTTTGCAAAGTGGACACATGGCAGTAATGAGAAAAGGGTTTTTACCCTGAGAACAAACATTTCTCTTAAATTTCCCCAACTTTTCATTGTGATACTGCAATAAAACTAATAATTACCAGCTATAATGTCAGCCTCCTCCATGGACTGGGTACTGAAGAGGATCACACGATTCGCTCTACGTTCCTTCAGGAAAGTCCACACTTGGTGCCTTGAAAAGGGATCTAATCCAGCAGTTGGTTCATCTAAAAGCAAAACCTACACAGAACAAAGAGATACAAAAACATCTCTCTATTCCACATTAACTATTTCCACATGATAGCATGAAAATTATAAATACCAATAAATAGTCAATCATTTGTCACCAATGTATTTATTCATTATGCTTAGCAGATTCTCTTTCGATAAAGTACAAGGAGCGCTCTACCACATTTAGTGATAAAAGAGCTGACTCTTTATGACATTCTATCTGCTTTCTCCACTGTACATAATCTTACTCACTTGAGGATCTCCTAAAATGGCAATCCCAAAGGTCAGCATTCTTTTCTGTCCGTCACTTAAATGTATAGCAAGATTATCCTGAATATTTTGCATGTCCAATTCCAATAAAATTTGTTGTACCTATACAAGAAAATACATAAAACTTAGAATATAAAATAATTCATACTGTGAAATAATATCTCCCCATCAAAGTGGTAGATACTTTTTAGAGGACCTCTTTGCCTAAATTTTATTCACAACAGGACTGAGAAATCACTGATAAGAATTCTGTGGACATGATTTAACTTGGTCAATGATCAGCAGCTTAATTAATCTAAGCATGCCTGTCTACCTCTTGTTCCACTTCCTGTGGTCGAATCCCTTTGATCTTAGCAAACAGGCTGAGGTTTTCCTTCACAGTGAGCATGTCGATTTGAACATTATTTTGAGGACAAACACCAGTTATCTTTCTGATTTCCTCCAAGTCTTGCATTTCAGAGAGGTTTTTATTATAGATGGTAACTGATCCTAAGAAAAGAAGTTAAAAATAATTTGATGTTGGCAAGATAATATATTTTATTAATTTGTAGAGATGTTATTCAATTAAAATATTGCCATATATTGCAAATATCTAAAATAATGACTTATTAATAATTACTAATCATCTATAAGATAAAATATACGCTTATAGTAGTGCATATTTCCCATGAAATGTCACAAAATGAAATGGAAAAGATATTCATGAAATTTGGAGAAATAAGAAATATATTCAAAATCATATAGTTTTGGGAAGCAACTTTTGTTTATTTGCTTGTTTGTTTCAGTACTGGGGAATTAAACCCAGGGTGTCCTACCACTGAGCTATATCTCTGGCCCTTTTTAATTTTCTTTTGACTTAGGGGATCACTAAGTTTCTCAGCCTGGCCTGGAACTTGGATCCTCCTGCCTCACCCTCCAGAGTCACTGGGATTACAGGTGTGCGTCACCATGTCTAGCAGGGAAACAACTGTAGATTAACATTATTGGTCTCAAGCTTTTAAATTTTAAGTGAGAGAATCAAACATACGACTTTGTTCTCTTATCAGACATGGTGTTTTGAGAGATATCTCTGTGCTCACCTTCTGTTGGAACAGACAATCCATTAAGGATGTTTAGGAGTGAAGATTTGCCAGCTCCACTGTGACCCAAAATTGCTGTGATCTGACCTTCATATATGTCAAAGAGCATGCCTGTTTTAGCATAAGGTAGTAACATTACAAATAAGAGAGTATTAGACAGGGTAGATCGTAAATATAGAACAAGACAATCAAGTTTAATGGTATGTTACTCAAGCATTCCAATACCTTAAAGCACACAATATTCAATATTTTCCTAATTGTTAAAATCTTACACCGGAGAAATTGATAACTTAAATAATATGTTACTGATACAATAACAACAGTGAAATACATATCATGATTAAAATGATCCTACTGGTACAGTATACCAATGACTAGGATAACAGTGGCTAATGGAAAGGGTGTCCAAAATGGACCATTATAAGCATAAAGGTTAATAAAGTGATCTCTCAAATTCATCAGAAAGTTGGATTATTTAATAAATAATGTCGAGACAACTATACAAGTACTGTACAAAGTTTATGTATGGTGTTGTGAATAGAAAGTACCCAACGTTTTCAAGAGTAAGCAGAAAATAACATTGATGCTCTCCTGGAACTGACCCACATCACTGCAAAAATGAAATGCAAGTCTCAGTTTCCTCATCTTCAAAGTGAGGGAAACATCAAAATACTTTTCATAAAGTTAAGTGGAAAACATCCATGTAAATTACTTAGTATAATTCCCAGTACATACTGAATTCTCAAAGACCCTTAAGATTTTATTGCTTTTCTTCCTGTGGTTCTTGTTATTATTAATTATGCATGACTGTGAGAGTATAAATTCCTCCAATCATCAAGGGAAATTACTTGAAATATGAGTCAAGAATCTTGAAAATATGGTTTCTTTGAATAGTTCTGCCTATAGAAACTTATCTTCAGGTTATAATTAATGACCTTTATAAAGACTGAACAAAGATAATATTAGTGTTTTCTTTTTAAAAAAATATTTTTATTAGTTATTGATGGGCCTTTATTCATTCATTTCTTTGTATGTGAAGCTGAGAATCAAACCCAGGGCCTCACACATGCTAGGTAAGCACTCTACCAATGAGCCACAGCCCCAGCCCCCATAGTGTTTTCTATGAGAGTGAAAACTGAATTTTATACACTGGTATAAATATATACCTGATAAGTTCATCATAGTATTCATAATACAGAATGTTATTTAGTCACTGAAAAACAGGATGTAGATAAGGAACTCAGAGTGTATTCTCAAAGGTGCTCCAGAGTTTCCACAGGGACTCTTGCCTGCAGAGCACAAAGCATAGAGAATGCAGCTAGCTCCCCACCTACTCCTGGAAGAGCAACTCCACATGGTTCCAATTTGTACATATATTTTAATGTTCTGATCTCCATTAGTTTTCAATTTGTTAAGATACTGCTAAAAAATGGAAGAAATTCTTATGGAAGCCGAAGGTATTTAAACATAAAAAGAAGTGATGGTTATTTCATGAGTACAAATGTTTCATAATGTGTTCTAGGAATTTAAATTATAAATTACTCCAATATGCTATTAGTGAAAATTAAAGAAATCACATATCTAAATGGTATTTGATGAGAAAAGTCTAGAGGGTCTAAATGTAAGAGTACAATTGCTCACAAAATACATTAATTTCTCAAAATAAAGAACTAATGTCAAAGGAATAAATAAGATTAAGTTACGGGATACTGCATTTGTTAGGAAAAAAACACAGTGTAAACACAATGGGCAGATAGTCCTCAACCTTATTGGGTGTTCATTGCTCTTCTCTATCTTTAAAAGCTTTTTAAAAACTATGTTTGTCATAGGATATTGACTTGCAAATTTAATTTACTATCAATGGTTTTACACATCTTAATCTAGTTACCTACTGCACCAGTGCATATAAACTATGTAAATTCCCTGACTAGGAAAAAAAATTATCAGATTGTAAGTCTAGAAATTATACAAAATTAAAATACTATCTATAGCACAGTAATCTAAAGAACAATATCAAATGACATTTCTCATTTTATATTCCATTTCTGTTAGTTAATAGATCCATGAAATACTTAGAATTTTAAAGCACAATTTTAGTAATGATTAATGTCCTAATGGTAGAATTGAATTTGTTTGTTTATACTTTTTACTTTTCTCTTTTAATTTTTGATGATATTTTTAAATCTTGCACCTTGAATTTTACCCATATTTTTTGTAATAACAGTGAAAAAATGAAATGTTTTTCTTTACCTTTCAAAGCTTTCACTTGTCCAGACTTTGTTTTATATTCCTTTTTAACGTTTCTAATCCTGAAATAATGAAAGGGATGCTTACTTAGCCAAGACAGAAGTAAAAATAGCATAGATCATGAATAAACCTGCTGTAGAGATAGATGCCACTGGCCACTTGTGTGAAATAAAAGATGGCAATGCCAGGCTAGTCAGAAAGACAGGATTTTGCAATGAATTATTTCCTCTGACACAGAATATAAAAGAATCTTTCTAGAAAGTCAAAATCGTGCTATATATGTATAATGAGAATTGTAATGCATTCCGCTGTCACATATAAATTTTTAAAAAAAGGAAAGTCACAATTAAGCCACTAATAATTTGTTTAGAAAAGTAGAAAGTTCTGTAATTATCCTCACTTTCTTCCTCTGGTTTTACCCTTCGTCTCCCATCCCTTCCTTTCTTATTCAGTAGTCAGAGTCTCTGTCATTTACACCTTCTAGAGTGTTCTAATAGCTTGCCTTTGAACTCTAACTCTGATTTAGATATGATGCAGTTTCTCTCCTCCCCTTATTTTGCACTATTCTCAAAATAAAAATGTAAACTTGCCATCTCTGTTTCCTCACCTTTTCTTTACTCCTCACTTTCACTCAGACCTAAACCACCCACTTCAGGGACCTACTTTTAATGAAATCATTTGTGGTCACCTAATTACTGAATGCAATAAGTATATTCCTTATCCTGCTCACTGGATGAGTCTCCATCAATGACTTTCTCTGTTCAGTGTCTATATTCCAACATCATCTTGTGCTTCCTCAGGGTCCTCCACGTATACTGTGGATCTTCTCACCTAGACTCTCTGAGTGTGGTATTCATTCTCATGGTTTCGACACTAACCTATCCTCTCTCTATCCTGTCTGATTGTGTCTGCATCTCTCTCTCTCTACCTCTCTCTCTCTCTCTCTCTCTCTCTCTCTCTCTCTCTCTCTCTCTCTTTCTCATACACACACAAACTAAATCACTGATTATTCAACTTGAATGTACATTGTAATACCAAGACAACTGATGTCTGCAAACCACCTTAAAGATTCACATTAGATTAAATATTAATTGATCTGGGGTAAAGGCTGAGGACTGAGATATTATGAAAGTCTTCCAAGTGATTCTAATGTGAAGCTATGTTTAAGAAGAAACTGCTCTAAACTTGAAGATCCAGAACAGATCTCATTTCCTTTCCTGCCTAAACTATTCCCCCTCCACCATTCTGGACCTTACTTAGCAGCATGGACATTCAGATATTTTCTTCATAATTATTGCTCAGACTCATCCATCACCCATATAACCAATTACAATTCTTATAAAATTTAACTCTAAAATTGTAGTGGTGGGTCTCTCTTCTCCCTACTAATTATAATCATTCTTGTTTAGTCCTTTAATATTTCTCCTATTTTATACTGCCTCTATTTTTTTTTCTGTTCTCAGGTTATTCCCCTTAGAATTCATGCTCTAAACAGAAAACAGGATTTTTTTTTAAAAAAATCATCTTAATTACTCCTCAGTGTCCCTCAGGATTTCCTCGTGAGCCTTAGAGGGAATGTCAAGGCTCTTACATATGACATCAAGCTGCCTCTTGTTGTCTCTCCAGTGACATCTCTTGGCATCCTTTGCCTCATGTTTTATGTATCAGAATCACCATGTTGCCTGTCACATGCAGCACCAACCTTAGAGCTCTGGCTTTTGTTTGCTAGATGTGCAGAAGTATAACCCCCATATGCGTGTGCACACACACACCTTCACATACACAAAAGAAACTTGGAACAAAATCATCATTTTATATTGCTTATTCTTAAAAGGTTGTTCATGGCAGCAGTGCTCATAAAAGCAAAAAGTCAGAAATAACCAAAGTATCCTTCTTGCAAAATGAGAGAAGTAAGCTCAAAGACTCATGTCTTAAAATTTTTAGTTTTTAAAACTAAAATCAGTGCATTAACCACAGTTATCACTATAGATAGATTAAAATGCATAATGTTGAGTGTAAAAGCAGCAAACAGGAAATAAATGCAATATGATATAATTTGTAGAATAGTAATACTCTAAAAACACAGAGAATTGCCACATATCATGTAGGGATACACTACAACATTAAAATATGGACCACAGTGACATACCAAAATGTATGTCACATAAAGAGGGATGAAGAGAATGGTACAGTGAGATCAAAGAAGCTTTAAATGAACATGATATATTCAATAAAAAATATTAGGCTAAGGAACTTAACCTTTCAGTAGATCACTTCTCTCCTTTGTAAAATGTAGAAAACAGAAACACCTGCCTTACAAGTTTAATTCTTAGTAAGAATTAAGTATATCTCTGGTAGGTAATAAGTACTATGTGAATATCTGATAAGTAAATAAATGGTTGATATTTAAAGTTCTGATTCTTTGAGTGCAACTGTGTTGAAAAATAAATTAGGACTTTTTAAAATTCATGGATTCTTGGGTTCAGTGGTTCTATTTCCAATAATTCTAAAGGCTGAGGACTGAGATAAGAGGGAAGGTCTAAGAACATAGATATTTTAGGTGCTCCTTATATGGTCCAGGTACCTATCAAATCTCTTAACAATCCTATGAAGTGGATATTACTCTTGTTTCACAGAAGACACTGAGACTTGGAGAAACTTACTTGTTTTTTCAAGGTTACACATCAAATGAGAAACAATTGAGATACAAGGCTCTAAGAATTTCTGATTCCAAATTTCTTACTTCTTCCATCTTATCATATAAGCCAGACAAAACTATGAAAGGAGGGGTTCAGAGAATGAAAGTAGCAACTATAAAAAGAGGTAGGGCACAAGAGACAAAAGGAGGAAAGCAGACAAGGTGGAGCATGACTTGGTAACATTGTATGGACAGGGTGGAAGGAAATCCTCCTTTCAGGTAGCAGTTAGGAGAAACTGGTGGTGGCTGGCCTTGGAATAGTGCAAAGTGATGTTGACCAGTTCCTTTCCCTTCAATATTTGGCCTCAGGCTCACCTCATTGCTATTGGTTAACCACTCCTTAGCCAGGTACTCATGAATTATGGTTACCTGATGGCTTCTTTTCCTTGGAATTCAGAAGCTATGGGTTCAAAATAACCATCAGAGGGATGCTCGGGATCCAGGTCTTTCTCAATGACCGTATTATCAGTCCTTCGGTGTCGGAAACAAGATGATGAACTCAGGAAAAATAATGGAGAATAGCGGTGCTCATTTCCATCTAATTAATCAATAGGCAATATAATATCAGATCACTAATATGAATACAAGCTTTCCCCTGAACAATCTAGAATACCATAAATTTTTAAACATCATAGAAAAATTCTTTTCTTTCTAACTTGCTATTATTCAGAAGAAAAGTTGATGATGAAGTAAACAATGAAAATTCAAAAGAAATAACACTGCAATAGTTGAACCATATAACAAAACTTTTAGCAAAATATAGATCAAAGGCTTGAATAAAATGTGACCCTAAAGGTATTTAGAAGAATGAATGAAATGAAATATTGGAAAATGTAAATTCTCAATATGGCACATATTAATTATAAACATTTCTATAAACTTACACAACTTGAGCACGGCAATACAACTGGACATAATAATGAAGTCCATATATTCACATGTAGGTACATGAATGAAATACACATGGAGATATTAGTTCAGGATAAATATGGTTGTGCTTTCAATTTATTTCCAGATTAAAAAAAAAATAAAGTAGCATTTGTTATTAAGGGCCTTCATTTATAAAACAGAAGTAATAGAAATAGAGGACCAAACATAAATACACAGGAATATACCAGATAATCCTAACTATAGTCAAACCAGAAGGAATATCCAAGAATAAGAAGATTGTACATGGAGAAAGCATTCTGAGTCTAGTGAGCTTTTAGGTATTCTGGGTTTATTTAAATTTCTGGTTGTTCGCAAGATAAAGACAGTGTGGCTGCATATTAATAAACTTCTGTAAATATGAACAATATATGATAATGTTGAAAATAATACTAAACAATATTTATTAGTAAGCACTTCCACAGTCAAATCACTTTAATAAATTTCTGCTTATTCTGACACAAGTCCTAAGTATCACTCTTTGAAACCACTATTCAAGGATACTTGAAAACTAACATTATTTCATTACTACATAATTATAATGTTGTATAATCAGCATTATCATGTAATTATGACATTATATGGAAGTCAGAAGAATAATTATTTTTATGTAAAATTCCTTTGGATAACTAAAACTATGAAGTAAAATAAAGAGTACATTAGCTCTGAGATGAGAAATATTTTCTTTTCATTTCTAAAAATAGATTTGCATAACTTTGAGAAAAAACTATTTGATGTGATCATTAACTGGAGATGTCAGAGAAAAAAAAACCACCATTACTTACGGGGTAAGATTTTGTCAAAGTACAGTGCCAGCATCAAGTAGATAAGACCATCAAAAGCCAACACAGAAAATGTTGCTAGCATTGTATATGATTTTTCTGAGGGGTCAGGGAAAACTACTCCATTCAAGTTATAATCCAGGTGGAGAATCTAAGATTCAACCAAAAATCACAATATATATTTAAGTTAATAAATATATAAGTTGCATCAAGAATTATTAGAACTATTACTTTCAGAATTATTAGAATTACTATTATTATTAAAACTAGAATTATTATTACTAACTAGCTTTTTAGTAAATAAAACAACTAGAAAAAGCACATCCACTTTAGAGTAAACAAAAGAATATTATTTAAAAACACTGGTTTAAAAAAATACAATGTTCTAAGTATAGATGTTTAAATAAGGACTCATGTGCTTGTTTTTATAAAGTCACTGCAGTATCTCAAAATATCTTCAATGTGACAAATGAAACAGATCTTATAACGTGAGAAACTTGTGAAGCACTTAATTAGTACACTGAAAAGTGAACATTTTCAAAGTTAGTTTTGAAGTAGAAAAACTGCTTAAAGGTTCCTGGATGAAAATAGTGTTGCTTATAATCACTTGTGAAGTATCAAGTTCTTTTGAAAGTTCAATAATTAATTAGCAATATTTTTACCTGAGTCATTCCAACTCTAAAGGCGAAAGGGCTACAAATACTCAAAATCCACTGTACAGATGGAGGAAGTTGTTTATAGAAGGCAGTGAATCCCACAAACCCCCAAAAGAGGGTGAGGAGAAACACAAACAAATTTGTGAGGACAGCTTTCTGTAACAGCACACTCATCAGGAATGATAAAGCTAGCTGAAAGAGAGAACACACTTACTTAGCTATGGCAGACATTTACTTCACTGAGAACCACTGGTATAAGGATCTCTATATCATGAAAAATATTTATCAGTGAGAATGAAAATAGTAAGGCATAGTGATTCTGTTCTGTTCACAGTTCTTCTTCTTCTTCTTTTTCTCTAAAAGAGGATCCTTATTGACCTTACTCAGATAGTGGACTTTTGTTGTTGAGGAAGTGGGCGGAAGCTGAAAGACCTGAGGATAGGGTACAAATATAAACTTGGAAAAATTAAAATGAATTAATATGCTAAGGAAGGGTATCTATCTACAACTTCTGCAGAAAACATCCTGGCAGGTAGAAGAAATTAGAGGATCTCATTCAGAGAAGAAAGAGCAATATGGAAAGAATATTAGAAGGAGAAGGGATAACTAGGAATGGATACCATGCCACACACTGGACACGAAAAAAGGGACTATACTAACCTACAGGGACACTAATATTTACTATTTGTAGCTAAGAACTCAAAGGGAGACAGTGTGAATAAACATATGAACTTACCAAAGACAAGCCATATAAGAATAAGAGTGTAAATATGACCATAAAGCCAGTCATGAGTATAACTTGGGTGGATGTTATGATAATTGTAATGACTATGGAAAGGACCAAGATGAATGCAGTATACATTAAACCCCAGGACAACCTAAGCAAAGACAAAAAGTTACATAATTATTTCAATTTCATTAAGAAATGTTTTGAATATTCAAAAATATCTAAAGAATAACAATGATTTCCCTTATACTTGACACCTAGGTTAACAGCTATAGTATCAATATGACAGAAGTTCACTGTGTACCCATTTCCTGATCATTATTCTCCCATGAAGGTACCCAGTTCTCTAAATGTGCTGTTTATAATTTCCACATAATTTTATTGTCTTATCACAGAAAGATGATGGATACTGTACACTGGTAGAGGCTTCAATCCTGGGAAAGGATTCTACAACAAATTTAGTGACTGTATACAACAGCATGGCTTTGTTGTCTCCTAGTGTTCTCCTACCCATGAAATGTAGAGTTCTTCGATTTGTTTTCTATTACAATATTGCTAAGAACATCCTTGTATTTGTCTTTTCTGGGTAAATGAATAAGAACATCTCTAAGATGAAGTTATTGAATTAAAAAAGATAAGCATTAGGTATCTTCAGTTGTATTAGATATTAACAAATTGTCCTAATTATAGAATTGGAAGGAAATTTAACAGATGCTGGTCAAATAACTCAAGTCTACTAACATCAGGGATATATAATAATTCTTGAGGGTCTCCACAGGTAGCACCTCCACTCCTTTAATAGTTGAAGTCTGTAACTTCAGTAATTTCATGTATTCTTCCTATTCATACTCATAATTTTTTTACTGCAACTGACATGAATTATGGTATGCATTTACATTTTCATGCTGATTTGCTTCAGGTGTGCCCATATTCCCATTTTTATGAAGTATTTATCCAGACTATTAGATCTATTAGATCTAGATTTTAGATCTAACAAGACCACAGTGTGCCTTAGCCCAAGTGCCTTATTTTATAAATAAGAAAGCTGCAATTCTTGGTTTTAATTCTTGTGCTATGTGAGTCTTATTAAGGAAATTTGGCCCTAATCCCATATAATGAAGATTAGGGCCTACTTTTTCTTCTATTAGGCACAGAGTCACTGGTTTAATTCCTAGGAACTTGATCCACTTTGAGTTTTGTGCATGGTGAGAGATAAGGTTTAATTTCATTTTGTTGCATATGGATTTCCAGTTTTCCCAGCACCATTTGTTGAAGAGGCTATCTTTTCTCCATTGCATGTTTTTGACACCTTTGTCTAATATAAGATACTTGTAATTTTGTGGGTTAGTCTCTGTGTCCTCTATTCTGTATTATTGGTCTACCAGTCTGTTTTGGTGCCAATACTATAATGTTTTTGTTACTACTGCTCTGCAGTATAGTTTAAGGTCTGGTATAGTGATGCCACCTTATCACTAAATAGGATGGAATCAAATTAAAAAGTGTCTTCTCAGCAAAAGAAATAATCTGTAAGGTGAACAGAGAGTCTAATCCTGGGAGCAAATTTTTAACCCTCACACATCAGATAGAGCACTAATCTCTAGGGTATATAAAGAACTCAAGAAGCTAAGCACCAAAAAAAAAAAAAAATCCAAATAAACCAATCAACAAATGGGCCTAGGACCTGAACAGACACTTCTCAGAAGAGGATATACAATCAATCAACAAATATATCAAAAAATGTTTCATCATCTCTAGCAATTAGAAAGATGGAAATCAAAACACTCTAAGATATCATCTCACTCCAGTCAGAATGGCAGCTATTATGAAGACAAACAACAATAAGTGTTGGCGAGGATGTGGGGAAAAAGGTACACTTATACATTGCTGGTGGGACTGCAATCTGGTGCAGCCAATATGGAAAGCAGTATGGAGATTCCTTGGAAATCTGGGAATGGAACCACCAATTGACCCAGCTATCCCTCTCTTTGGCCCAAAGGACTTAAAAGTAGCATACTATAGGGACACAGCCACATCAATGTTTATAGCAGCACAATTCACAATAGCTAAACTGTGGAGCCAACCTAGACGTCCTTCAGTAGATGAATGGATAAAAAAATGTGGCATATATACACAATGGAATTTTACTTAGCAATGAAAAAGAATAAAATCATGGCATTTGTAGGTCAATGGATGGCATTGGAGAAGATAATGCTAAGTGAAGTTAGCCAATCCTCAAGAAACAAATGCTGAATGTTTTCTCTGATATAAGGAGGCTTACTCATATTGGTGTAGGGAGGGGGAGCATGGGAGGAATAGATGAATTCTAGATGGGGAGGGGAAGGGAGGAGGCAGGCATTAGCAAGGATGGTGGAATGTGATGGTCATCATTATCCAAAGTACCTGTATGAAGACACAAATTGGTGTCAACATACTTTATATACAACCAGAGATATAAAAAATTGTGCTGTATATATGTAATAAGAATTGTAATGCATTCTGCTGTCATTAATTTTTTAAAAAAATCAATAACAAATTTTAAAAAGAAATGTACAAAAAAAAAGAAAAAAGAAAGCTGCAATCCCTTTATTAGTTAATGGCTTTACTCAGGGCCACAAAGTAAACCAGTATCAAGGTGCATATGTAGCGCTCTCTCTCCAGAGTTCGTTCCTCTGCTTAAAACCACATAATTAAGAATATAACAACTGAAGAATATAACAAAAATATTAAAACCAGGACCTTGATTCAATATGTCCCAGTAGAACATGTATATACTAGATTTACGAGTTACTTGACTTTTAAAATTTCACATCATTACAGTGATTCAGCCTGTGTGAGAAGCATCAGCATATTTTTAAAAGCATAACACATTCTTCAGATTCCACTTCCTGAGTACAGAAGTGAACTACTTTAAGTAGGAAATTAAAAACCACAATGTAGGAGAACCACAAGTGAAAGAGATTTTAACATTATCTAAAAAAAGTTATAGGAGTGATAGAAGGAATTTGGAGAGAGATGTTAAATCTACAAAAACCCTCATGCTGAAAATAAAGCAATTTAGACATCATACTTAAAGAATAAATAATGATTACTTTTCACATGCATGACATCAGTAAAAGAGTGTCATTCAATTTGTTTTGAATAGACACATTTGGAACTTAGTAGAAACATATCAGAATCTTTTTCTGTCTTTGTTTTAAGGATGTATAAGTAAATATATATACAGCTAAGTTTTCGGTTTGATGCATACCAAAAATTATCCTAAGAATGAATTCACACGCACATGTATAATACTTTTCTCACTTTAGTATGGGATTGACTGGTACTTTCCTGATCACAGGTGACTGCTGTCATTCTGTTCTATAGGACATGCCCTGGATTTAAAGTAGGCCCCTTTTACAGGAGTTCCATCTCTCTTCCTTCCTAACAGATTTTGTGATTGGCTATTTGTATTTCCAAATGTCCCATTGCAAAAAAATTATTCTCCCTCTCTTAACATATGGTTTCCTCTTTTTCTATTTCACAATTCACACATAGTAGAATTAAAAATCACTATTAGTAAATATATTTTATAGATAATAAAAATTTCCTAGACCATAATTATATTTCAGGAAACACATGGCTTTCAAGGGATTTTTCAAGTGAATAATTATTCATTCATTCCAAGTAGTTCCATATGCATAAAGAATATTTTATTGATATGAGGACTACATGCAGATTCAATATCAAAAATGTTTCTTTTGGGGTAAAATAAATACATTATTTTTCCTTTTCCTCTTTTTCTAGGCAGTATGAATTTTGTCACTGAATGTCTTGCAAAATTCCGTTTGACGTCTTGGGAGTTGAGGGTTGTATGATTTACATTTCTCTTTACTAAACTCATCTATTAATGTTTTCGTTATGTGTATATATTCACACATATATATTTCAAAATACTTTAAATTATGTGTGGAATGAAGCAAGATATAAATACTACTATATGAAGCAAATGCTCTTATGAGGCCCTTCCTACATGTCAGCCCAGGTGTTGTATTTCCTGAACGCGTTCCATATGCTACTTCATTTAACAAGATATGATATTTCCTTGCTCCAAAAAATATATGTTTGGGCCCAGCCCCTGAACACAACTTAGCCTTCATAAGCCTATATTTTTGTCTTCAACATGAGGAAGAATGGAGAAATCAGCTGATAATTGTGGGTAGATCAATTAGGAGAGGTGCCTTCAGGACACTTTGGTTAGAGTTGCAGCTCTGATACTCAACATATACCAAACAACCCTCTTTCATTTTAACTCTCCTTATTTATAAACTAGAGGAGAGTTCCTCTATCACAGAGTTAGCTTAAGATATTCACAGCACAGGAAAAATTACTCAGCAAACTGTAAGCATTATTTTCCATGACAAAATTTAACACGGACTAAATCAACAAGTCAGCAAAAGATAATGTAGTTACTATATCAAGGTTAAACAATGGTATTCTGAAGCAATAACATATTTTTTTCTGCTTCAGAGTTTCCATTTATTAACTGGAACTACTTGAATGTATCACTCACCAGAAAGCTGAATCATGTAGACCCATCATTTTCATCAGTTCCTTACTCTTTTTCCTCTCTTTTGTAACATTGTGTGATACAAAATATATAAATGGGGAAAAATAAAGCAAACAGTATAAAATGAACATCTCACTTTGAAAAATGTCTTTAGAAATAAAAGGTAATGTCTTCATATTTATAGCAGTGACTGACATCAACTCATCTATCACAGAGTGATTTGTTGTGACCTAAAGAAGGATTTGAACAAATATGAATCATTATTTAAGGAACTGAAATTGATGAAATCAGCATCAGTGTTGCAGTTTGTACTTATAACAATTTCAATATTCTACTATTTCTATATAAGATTTTTACATTAGGGGAAAATGAGTGACTAGTAAAATGGACCTCTCTGTAAATTCCTGCAGCTTCCTGTGATTTTAGAACTACTTAAAAACTAAAAGTTTGAAAATACTCTGGAAGCTCAGGCAGGAGAAGCAGGAACTTAACGCCAGCCCCTGAAACATAGTGAGACTCTGTCTCAAAATGAAAAAAATGGAAAGATCTGGGGATGTTGCTCAGTGGTTAAGCACCCTTAGGTTCAATCCCTAGTACCAAAAAACAAGTTTGAAAATAGGCAGGGTTCACTTGTCTGAACATCTGCTTCATTATATAAACATACGAAAACCTGTATACATCACTGCTTTGGTTTGAATGGGACCCTTCTATAAATTCACATTGCAACTTCATCACTGTGGTGATATAAGGGGTAGGCCTTTGGGGGAAGTGATTAGATAACTATCCTCATGAATGTGGTACTACCCTCATGGATGAATTAGTGCCTTATCAAGGGCTGTGGGGAACCAACTAAGGCCCTTTCTGCCCTTCTGCTCTTTCACCATGTGAGGACACTTAGATGGTGACATCTGTGAGGAACATAGACTCTCAGCATTTCATAGGTTCCAGAACTGTGAGAAACAAATTTCTGTTCTTTTTAAATCACCCAGTCTCAGGTAGTTGATAAATCACAGCATAAATGGACTAAAAGCATCAACTTTCACAACAATCATGATGCCCTTGGGATTAGTTTACATTGAACATTAGACCTTCTCAGGTGGGTACTTACTTCTATAATAGCAGCATTAATGATAGTCTGCAAAGTTACAAATCCTCTTTCCCAGTATTTGGACAATACACATGAATATTCACCATATATTTCCCAACAATGACCTATAAGCACAAAGAAAAAAATAACCATCAGTATGGGACAAAGACAGTTGGACACTAAGAAGCAAGAATCTAAGAAAAGACAATACAGGGGAGACTTTGCCAGTCAGAATATTTAACTACACAGAAGAAAGAAGCACATGAAAGTTTAAAAAGGTAATTTTATTCATGAAGACCACAGATTCATAGAAGATATTAGAAAACAAAAAGTAAATAAAAGGAAACACTGTGTTCCATGCTATTTCTCAAAATATTAAAAACACCCCAGCCCTACGACTTTCTTTGCACTCAAATGTTCTCCTTTTAGATGGACGTATGGCTCACTTCTTCATCCTGATCTCCTCTCTCAAGTAACTTCATCAAACAGGTCTTTCCTGATAGCTATATATAAGATATATAAAATAGCTCTTGAGTTCTTTATCTTATAACCTGGCTTTGTCATACTTTGTGGTGGGTATGATTTTTCTCCCATCCCCTGTCCCAATTAGCATGAGTAGGAAAGAACTGATTCTACTAGTCCCATTGCTTCTGCTTCCTAGAGGGTCTTCTAATTTTTTGCCCTCTCTCCCTTTCAGCTGCCTCCAGCACCAGCTCAGCCACCTGTCAGCTCACTGGCAGGATTCATTACATTCTCCCTGAGTCCTTTACAATCTATTCTCTGGCTGCATCAGGAATGCTGTCTTAGTCTTGGAAACCTAATCACAACCTTCCTTGCCTCGACTGAAGTACCTCAAGGGCTATCCAATGCTTGAGGTCTATGAGATGCCAGAAGATCCAGCTTCCTCTGCCTATTATACTCCTCTTCAGTATCTTCAAGATCTAATAAGAGATCCCCTTTCTCCCTTCAGGTCTTTCCCATTTACCTTTCCTCTTTCTGTTCCTGAAAGCAATGCCTTCTGGTCTTGGTTTAAACATCCTTTCCCTAATTCCACAGTTCACCAAGAATATCAGTCTAAGTCCCCACAAGAACCTTTCCTTGTACTTGTCCTTAATTCTTCAACATCTGACTTTCCTGATAAATTGGAATTTCACCTGTCATGGACCCATCAGCAGACCTGTCAGTCTTGATCACACCTGCATCCTTCCAGTCATATACATGCATGCTCAATAGATATATGTTGAATTATTCTACAGGTTTTTTGTTTTTTTGAGAATCAGCTTCTAGTGGGAGGCTAGTTTATCTAGTTTATCTTGGAATAAGTTCAACAATAAATGTTATTTTATTTTCTCCTGTGCCATTGAAAAAATCTATATTGCCCATCCCCACCTGTTCTTATGTTGAAAACATGAAGACAGACATAATCAAATTTTATATGAAAAGTCACCTGTTAAATCATCTCTCAAAAATGGAACAGCATATCCTTGAAAAAATTTTAACTTGTAAGAGAAAGTGTCACTAAAGGTGATTCCCACTGCATGTGGGAAATTCTGGAAAATTACGTCATCCATGTCTTTTTCATTTGGTACCCCAATGATTCTTGTTCCTGTGAATTACAAGGCAAAAATAGACATAGAAAACTGTAATTGAGTTTCCCCAACATAAAATCTGTATTCAACCATCATCACATATTTTTATTAGACTTAACGTTAATATCATTTTCCATTTAAAGCAAACTTGAAATAAAAGTCAAGTGGACATTTTTATTTTAATCCTTTAGATTCTAGAATCAGGAGACATGCATTAGAATTTAAGTGTTTTCTTTTTAAAATGGTAAATCTTTTTAAAAAGAAAATAATTATATATACAAAAAACGTTATGGTGGGATTAGTCAGCATTAGACAATGAAACTATGAAAAATTGTAGTCATTATACAGCTAAGTATTCCAGATTCCAAATTGTAGTCATTATACAGCTAAGTATTCCAGATTCCAAATTCACTGAAGAAAAGAAATTGTATGACCTTTGTCCTATGCAGGAACTAAGATAAGAAGAAACTCTATTTATAACAACCAGAAATTTCACTTGTTAGAAATTATGAATTAAAGAGTAAATAGTCAGACTACACCCAGCTTACACATGAATAAATTACACAGTTTGTTCATCTTGATTACATAATAATGTAATTTAGAATGAAGACCCCTAAAGATGTTTATGAATTATACTATATTCAGAAAGAACAACCTTCAGATTATTCATGTTTTCATAGTTATGAAATTACTGTTCTATAACCAATTCCTAATCTTTTACTTAGTTGCTTGTTTGTTTGTTTGTTTGTGAGCTATACATCTTAATCATTATATTTCCATGTTAAAAACATATGTATTCACCAATGGTTATGTTTCCCCTATTCACTACTCTGAAAATCTGAAATTATAAATCTGTTGTTTCATTACATTCCAATAGGAATGTGGGCCTCCTTAAATCAACTGCCCCCAAAGCTAATAGTTCTGACAAAACAAACAAACAAACAAAAAAACTAACAAAATTGTATGCTATCTTGATGTTTAATTTGTTAGCAAAATAAACAGTTATCACTGTAACCTCAAATTAATATGTGTACATCTTATCAAAAACTACAACTAATATCAGTAATGCTGTCTTGCCATTAGTACACCTACCTTTCATTAAGGGAGCAAATGCTGTTGTATTCATTATCTGCTGAGTTATATTAGAGACTGGAGTATACACAATCATTATAGAAGAGACATTAAATTTGTCTACCCTTCCCAGATCTTGAGGAGGTATTTCAGGTAATTGGTTATTTTCTTTGACTTCTGAAAGCAGACCCACATACAGTCCTAGCAGTATTGGGAGGCCCCATTCCTATAAAATATTTGACAAAAAGAAGTAAGAAGAAATAGATGAGCTTAGATCATTTTCCCTTAAAATCAGTCCACATCAAAGAACTGTTGAAGACAGATTTCAGTTTTGCCATGTAGTTGGTCTCTCCATTCTCTACTCTTCAGAGCAAGGAGAACCCAATGAATATAAATACCAAGTTAATAGCCACATATATCCTTCTCAGATTCTAGAACTAAACTTTTACAATAATTCATGAACTACGTCACAAGCCATTAGAAACTAACAGGACACCTAATAGGGTGCTAATCTCTACACACATAGGTAGCTAATTCAAGACTCCAGATAAGTATTCTAGATAGGGTTCATGGGGCAAATGTTTTGTCAGTTCTGATACCCTTGTATCAAAAACTAAAGGAAATAAGAAGGAACTGAGTGTTAAAGACTCACTAGTGGATCAACAATGTCAATAACCAGTGGATCAACAATATCAATAATCACTTCCTCCTTTATATCACGTTAGACTAGGTTCCCCACCTCCCAAAATTAAGTGAGACCAAATGTTTGAGTTCTGGCCAGTGGGATGTGGACAGAAGTGAAAACATGCTACTTCCTTGCCATGTTCAGGGACCCTCACACAACCTTCCATACTCTGTCTCAAATATTCCTTTTCCTCATCTTCTGACTGGATGCAGAAAACTCAGTGAAGGTTTGTAAGCTCTAGTGAGATCTCAAAGTCTCTAGTTGAAGAAGTCTAGGTTTCTGAATGACTGTGTGGAGAAGAGTGTACCACCTACCCAACTCACTTCTCCACTACAACCTTCAGATTGCAATAAGAGTAAAACATAAACCTTCACAGTTAAGCCACTGAAATCTGAACTAGTCACCTGCAGTTAGCCTGCTGCCTGATGCAAACCCACAGTGGTGTGACGTGATCATAATCTCAGAAAAATCTTTAGGTAGAAAATTAACAGTCTTAAATATGAGACCATGAAGTTAACATTTATTGTAGGCCAATTATTTGGCTCTAAATGGGATAAAGTGGTAGCTTTAACAGTTCCTACAATTTACCACTTAATTAAGTGTGCACTTAATCTCTTTTTAAAGATCTGAATAGTAATTTAGTCTTTACAATTCTAGGTTATTGTTCAAAAACTATTATGAGTTTCTCAATTAAACAAATACAAATAGAGACAACCTAAAAACCAACACATCTGGTCTTCAAATTAAAGAATAACATTAGAAATCATTAAGCAACAAAATAAAACTGGAGAAGGAGACAAACTGTCTTACATACCAATGCACTCTCTCTTTTCATCCTCCATTTCTTAAGAAAATTCTTACACAGAAGAGCTTGAGTTTGCTGATACACACTTGTCTGTTTTATTCTCATTTTGACTCTTCATTAAATAAACAAAGAGAAATAAACCAGAAAAATAAGCATACTAAGAAAAATCATGATTATATTTTTGAGTAAAATATTTACTGCTTCTAAAAATTGTAAAAAAAGATTTAAAATTGTATTGCAATAATTCATGACTAAAGATTCACCTCACATATATTCACTTTATCTGGGGGAGTGAGAGATGGTGGAGAGGTAGAGTGATTTGTTTTCACATTTTTCAGCAACAGAATTCTACACTTTCTAGAAAAACTATCATTTGAGCTTAGAACCTATAACTTCACTTTTTGACCTTTCATAGCAGAATGATGTGAATAATTAAATTATATCTCTTCCTAATAATAGTCATTTCTTGCTCCTTGCACTTTAAATGAAAATCTCAAAGCTAATCAAATTAATGTCAAAATTCAGATTACTTCAGTTCATGTGAATAATAAGTAACATTCATTAGTTATGACCCCAGTGAAATATTTTCTTATAGTATTTACCTTAAGATTGCAGTGGACAACTTTTAACAAAAGAATCAGGCTGTGGGATCACTATCTGGACTCAAAGTGCATTAAATTGGATTCTGAGACACAAGAAGAATAAAACAATTTCTCTTAAATTTCTCAATTTAGTCCCTGAATAACTCAGGAAACAATCTGTGAAACAAGTTTTAAAAAGAAGAAGAAGAAAATAACAAATTACATGGGAAAGGAATTTCATCCAAATGTTATCAAACAAACAGAAGTCTTTTTTTCCCCAGTTTTTATAATCTCCAAATTTAATTATTCTTTCAAATTTGCATATCAAAATATTTATGCCATTCTCTATTGGTAAGAACAGAAAAAAATTTACTATTTTCCTATATTTTACTGTTATACTTACAGGATAAAAGTTGTTTGGGAAAAAAAAAAACAGAAAAAATTTAGTCATTAAGTCTTCAACATAAAAACACAGAAGTGTTTGAAAACATCTGAAAATTATGATTTTAACAGTGTCCCACCCACATATTTGGCATACTATAGGAAAAAAAAAAAGCTTTACTTACTGTCAGGAAAATTTTAAAAAGTCCTCTGGAAATGGCAAATCACAGTTCTCCTTGAACCTAGTGCAACAATTAAAAATTTAAAATGTATTGCTGCTTCCTCATTTATTCCTTAAGTAGGTGGCTACTCCCAGCAGTTCTTATTCAGACTGCCTTCTACAGAGGGGTGTAGTCAAGCCAAGCGGCACATGATGAACTTGTTTTGTTCTCTCTCCTTTTAACCCCTAAACCAATTATTCTGCAGGGAAATGACTGTTCAGTGATTGGTTGAGAATAAAACAGACCCTATGTTTGTTCATCTTGTTTTTCAACTCCAGGGATAGGGGAGAAATGGCAAATAAGGAAAATTATACTAGTTCATCAGACATCATGAGACCAAGACAAAGGAAAGAGTAAGAAAAGAGTAAAAAAAAAAAAAAAAATACTGACCAAAGTTAAAGTTGTGTGAGAAATCTTTATCTTTTTTTCCCCCATGATTGATGGTTAAACATGACTGTCAATTATAAACTTGACCAATTCAGACTAAGCGGGCAAACATGCTGAAGCTGAATTTTTTATTTTTTTTTGTTTATTTTTCTAATAAAGCTATGCAAAAAAAAATGACTATTCTGCCTTCAAGAATCTGTTAAGATGGAAAATGAAGAATTAGGAACAAATTTCATTTTTCCATTCTTTTAACAGTAGATAAAGGCATGGTAAGAAGTGTGAACAAACTAACAGTAAATATATTGCCAAGGACTAAAAATCTTAAAAGTTTCAGGAGAATTTCTGAGCACGAATACTAGAAAAAAATAAAAACGGAAAAATATTCATTCTCATTTCAAAGTCTATCTCTCCGAAAAGAATTACAAACTTTTCTTGACCTGCCATAGTAAATGGCAAAACAGGAAACCAAAGTCCATGTATTGGGAAATCTCAAATATTTGACGTGGCTCCCAACTTACAGATGTTAATAATCATAAAACAGAGATGTTCTGGAGCAAAGGGGGATATGTTTAAAAAAAAGAATAACAACAATTATAATTGCATATTATGCATATATTCCTCTCCTTTGAAATTAGTTCTAATTTTAAAAATAGTCAACAGTGAAAGATTACATGTCTTTTACATTAAAAATTGGCAAAAGCAAAGGTGATAGAGGTGTTTTAAAGGTCTCCTGGGGTGTGAGGAAGGTCACACACATAAATTTTGAATCAAAAATAAAAGAATAATTCAGTGTAGGGCTGTGGATGTGGCTCAAGCGGTGGCGCGCTCACCTGGCATGCGTTTGGCCCGGGTTCGATCCTCAGCACCACATACCAATAAAGATGTTGTGTCTGCCGAAAACTAAAAATAAAATAAATATTTTTAAAAAATTCTCTCTCTCTCTCTCTCTCTCTCTTCTCTCTCTCTCTTTAAAAAAATAATTCAGTGTAAGTCAATTGGAACACAGTTCAGTTTTCTAGTTTTTTATTGTTACAGCTATTCTAAAAAAATTCAGGAATTATTTTTACTCTTGCCTTCCTTACAATCATATTAGTAATATTATTACATCTATAATATCAATTATTGCTTTGATTAAATATATTTTCTCATTTTCTTACTGTTTTTATAGATGCTCTGTCTTTTTCTTTCTTGACCTTTTTATTCTGGTTTATTTTCATTTGGGGAAGACTAATGTCTTCATTTAAATGTGAAGATTGCCCCACCAATGTTGACCTATGATGATGCAGAAGCTCTAGCTTCTGACTAGGAGGACAGAAAATAGTGAAATGGTGACTAGGATAAATCCCCAAACAAAAGTTCAGATACATAGCCAAACTTCAACAACAGAAGAAGAAGAAGAAGAAGAAGAAGAAGAAGAAGAAGAGGAGGAGGAGGAGGAGGAGGAGGAGGAGGAGGAGGAGGAGGAGGAGGAGGAGGAGGAGGAGGAGGAGGAGGAGGAGGAGGAGAAAGTAATGAATATTAAGAAAGAAAGAGAAGAAGGCATATACCCAGATGCTAAAAGTGAAAAGGGAAATTTAAATTCCCTTGAACCATGAGTGGCATTGTGGACACTAAGCAGGCCAAGAATATATTAGACCAAGACCCATGGCTCAGGGTCTTAATGTCCCTGTGACTGGATGCTTGACAGGTTGGAAAGCTGGAATCCATGTCCCTGTTTGAATCCAGCATCTTGGCAAGACTGTTCGGTGCTAAAAATACACCAGAAAATTTCAGCTACTGCCCCAGGGAGAGCCAGAACATATTTATTGCCCAGTCTCTGTGGTAATAAGGAATGCAAAACACCTACTCAGGTAAAGGAAGCAGGAGAGGAATCGCTCTGCTTGGCAACAGGAAGGGTATCACAGCAGTTAGCATGTGCATGCTGAAGCCAAACTGGGGTCCTAATCCTAGCTCCTCCATGCTCTGGTTGAATGTCCTTATGCAATCAGTTTCTTTCCCTCTCCGTTTTTTCACCCATAAAAATTGAGAAATAGAGTGTTTATATACACAAGCCTTTGTGTGGATCAAATTCATTAATGTAAGTACCATGCCCAGCTAGAATACATAAATATTTAAAAAGAATAATAATAGTTAAAATTAAAATCAATGGATAAATTTTACAGCAGATTAGACAGAGTGGAAGAAAACTCCTCTAGTCCTTCATAAACTATATAATAGGTACTGTGAACTATAGTTGCAAATTGTGCTGTTGAACACTAAAACTTATTCTTTCTGTTTTGATATACAAGTTTTATCCTTCCTCTGTTCCCCCTACCCTCACTTTTCCCAGTCTCTAGTAACCACTACTCTATCTTCAGAGCAACTTTTTTTCAAGCGGTATTTATTTTACTGTGTCTGACTTATTTAATTCAACATGATGGTATGGACTTCAGTTTCATCCATTTTGTTACAAATGACAGAATTCCTTTCTTTCTTTTTTAATTTAGTACTGGGAATTGACCCAAGCACACTAACCACTGAGCCACATCCTCAGGCCTTCTTTATTTGTTTTTATTTTGAAACAGAGTCTTGATAAGGTGCTAGGGCCTCACTAAGTCGCTGAGGCTGCCTTTAAACTTGTGATCCTCCTGCCTCAGCCTCACAAACTGCTGAGATTACAGGCAAGCACCACCCCACTGGATCATTTTTCTTTATGGTTATAACACTCTATTTTAATGAATAGACCATTATTGCTAAATAATATCATAAAAATGATGCATATATGCTACATTTTCTTTATCCATTATCTGTTGATGAGCACCTACGCTTAGCTCACATTTTGCTGTTAATATTAGCACTGCAGTAAATATGGGGTTGCAGGTATCTTTTGGGATGTTGGTTTTATTTCCTTTAGGTATTTATCCACAAGTGAAACAGGTGATTCAAATGGTAGAACTATTTGTAGCTTTTTGAGAAACCTCTAGACTGTTCTCCATAATGGCTATATTACTTACATACCCACAAACGGTGTATAAAAAGTTCCCCTTTCTCCACATCCTGAGCCAGCATTATTTTTTGTCTTTTGGACAATGGTCATTCTTCTTGGAGTGAGATGATATTTCATGGCTTTGATGTGCATTTCCCTGATGGCTAGTGATAGTGAGATTTTTTTCATATATTTGTTGGACTTTTTAATTTCTTCATTATAGAAATGGCTATTCAGATAACTTAGACATATTTTAAATGGGTTGTTTGATTTTTGTTAAGTTTTCTGAGTTTCTTATATATTCTAGACTTAATTCTTTGTCACATGAATAATTTGCAAATATTTTCTCTGATTCTGCAGATGCAGATTATTCTGTTTTGTTGATTGTTTCCTTTGCTATAGAGAAACTCCATTAAGGCATAAAGGTATGTTACTACAAATCTACGTTGTTTCCCAGACATGAGGATTTATTACTAGTATAAAAACTGGAGAAAAGGAATGTAGAAGAGATCAGGTGTATGTGTGAAGTAGGGAAGAATTTGAATGGAAGTGGGGGGGTGCAGAAATAAAGCAGTAGAAAATATGATCTAAAAGTATGAGTTAACACCTGTAATCCCAGTGGTTCTGGAGGCTGAAGCAGGAGGATCTCAAGTTCAAAGCCAGCCTCAAAAATTTAGTGAGGCCCTAAGTAACTCAGTGAGACCCTGTTTCTAAGTTAAAATACAAAATAGGGCTGGGGATGTGGCTCAGTGGCTGAGTACCCCTGAGATTCATCTCCGGTACACCCCCGCCAAAAGAAAATATAAGTTAAAATATAGGAATAACGATTACCAATGGCTGAGGGAATGCACAGTCATCATTGTACCAAAAGGGTAACACTTGAGTCTCCATACCTGATTTTTAGCCTCACCCCTTGGGAAGGGGTATTACTCTTCTGGTTTATTCTTTGACCTGATATGAGTAAATGTTACTGGCTGATGCACATCAGTTATCCTCTCTCTTCCTTCATTGGCTCCATTTAAGTAGATATTGTTTCCTCCAAATCCAAGCCCAGCCAAGCCCCAACCAGATCTGCTGAACTCTGGCCATGCCACTGACAAATTTGAATAAACAATAATTGTTTGACATCACTGGGTTTGGAGTGATTTTTTTAATGTAGTACTTTTCTGGCAATAACTCACTAATATAAGCATTATTTTTTTTCCACTCAGGGAAACATAAGCTCAATCTTTACTTCTTTGAATTGACATTATCTTAAAATCAGAAAATTTGAGTACATGAAAAAAAATGAATATATTCAATTTCTTTTTATAATTTATTGAGTTTCTCTACTGATTAACACATGATGTGGTAAATTAGCAACTGAAGGTACCAAAAGGTTGACTTTCAAATTCCTATCACTGTCATCAGTATCTTAAAATTTTCTCTTTCCCTGTAAAATTTAATGATAAAAATTTTATAAAATAAGATAAATAAGCTACACAAATTTTAAAAAGTATTTCTTTTAAATTCCTCCCTTAGAAATGAAATGTTGGTATCCTCATATTTACTCCAATAAGTGATGTCAGTTTCTCCACCATGGGATAATTTTTGTGAATTAAATTGGGATGTTAACATAATATGTTAACTATAGCAAAAAATGCATTAGAGAACCATAAACTCTTAGTTTCCTTTCATTTCAGTATTTATATATTGAATCATTTTCAAATATGGTGAACTATTAAGATCATTAAAACAATTTTGATGACTTGTGGGATTAACTGACATTAATTATAAGAGTCACCTGAGAAACTATTGAATGTCTATCTT